TTTTTAGAAATAAGCTGTTAATATCAAGTTATTTGATGAGAAAGTTATTTCGCAAGGATTTTCTTACATTTCCAAACAAAGCTTTGGAAGTATAAAATTTTCAAAAACCTGTATAGAAAAAATTGTTTATTACGGCAGCCAAAAAACCTGATTTTTACTCTATAAAACCTATAAAATCCAAAATATTTGCTTAAAAATAAACTTTAAATTATCCGGACGAAACGCATTAAACTAGAAACTTAAAACGCGTTTTTCTCAAATTGGGTTGACTTTAGTCAAAAACTGATGAAGACAAAAGTTACTGAAAATTTTAGCAGATTTGATGGTGCAAACTTTGCGAAATTTGGGCCTAAATTGTTACCCCAAAATTAGATCTTTTTTGGGTTTTTTAGTCAATCAAAAAATGCGCCAAAACTAACTGGTCGATCACTGGCATAATTAAACCAAAGTAAACATCTTAGGTAGACCAACAAACTTTAAAAAGGATATAATCTCAAAATGTTTAAAAATTCACAATTTGTTCAAATATTGTTTTTATATATAAAAAAATTGGTGTTTTATATAGTAAAAGCGAACTTTTTTGTCTGTCAAACAAAAATAAATTATTTTATCCAATATTTTTGGAGAGTATACTCCTCATAAAATTTGTTGTGCTACGTAAGAGCTTTATTGGGTTATGCCATTGATCGACGAAGTAGTTTTGGCGTAACTTTTCATTGACTAAAAAACCCAAAAATAATCCATCTTTGAGGTAAATTTTCAGTCCAGAAATTCGTAAAACAATTCTGCTGATATTTTAAGCAAGTTTTGTCTTGATCAATTTTGACCTATAAAAAAATAATTATAGAAAAACGCGTTTTAATTTGCTAGTTTGATGCGTTTTGTCCGGATTATTTAAATCAGCACTGTGTTCTTCTTCAGACTTTTTGCCGCGCCGCATTGACGATTCCCACTGAGCTTCTGGTCGCGCTCAATTTTATGATGTTTAAAAATAGTAAATTTGGTCAATTAGTTAAGCTGATTGGGTCTTTTCTGTCGTATACGGCCCAAAGTTAACAAAGTATCTAATTCTGCTTCTTTTAAAAATCAAATTCAGAGTTTCTGTTTAAAATCAAATTCGGTGAATTCGCTTACAAAAAAGCGCAATGGAAAAGCAAATTTGCGTATTGAGCGAATCGTGCGATTTGAAAACTATCACTTTTGCAAAATTATTGATTGAGCAATGTTTGGTACCCAGGTAGGAAGATAAAATCAATGTACAGATAGCCTCATATTGTGCATTTTAAAATTCCGAACCAATCTCATAATCAGGTTAGACTTCGAACAAAAAATTGTTAACTTTCGTTCGTACCTTAAGAACTAGAGGGACAGTTGGACAAACAAGTTGACTAATATTGATGTCTATCCAAGCTATTCTTGAAAAATATATTGCCAAAGTTGGTTTAATTGTATATAAAAAAAATGCTAAACTTTTATATCTGAAAACTAATATTTAAATATCTAATGCAGCGATTGAGGACAAAAGGCAGCATTCATCAATCAAACTTCGGTGTTCGTGACCTCCACGCGCTAACTTTCACCTTGACCTTCAGTGCATATCCATGGCTGGTCTCGACAGATGACAAATTGCTTAAACCAATCAAAACTCAAGGATTCTTCAATAACTCTCCGTTTGAATCTGAAAAAAAAACGAAAATCAGTTAGTAATCAGAAGTAATAGAAAATCTTACATATCGGGCACCTTTATAACTTTTTGTTTGTTATTCATTTTTTGAAAACAACAGATGTCCATTCCGCCTAATTTTCTACTTTTCTATGCGTTTATATAGTTTTCTCGTCAAACCATGCTAAAAAACGACACTATTTTGATAATGAAGACAAAAAGCTTTCTTTGTAATATATTTTTTTAAATTTTAATGAATGTGGTCAGAACATGTGGATTTGCTCAGCATCCGTGTATCCTTGCTTGCTCTTTGTTCTTTGCTTTTCTTAGACTTTTTTTAAATATTTTTTTCGTCATCTAAAAGTGTTGTTTTATCATTTACAGCTGAAACTGGAAACTGTGTCAACAGAAATGGTTTCAACAACTTCTAAAATTTATATCAATCGAAACGGCTTTGATTTAGGTTCTGTTCGGAAGTGTTTTCTCAGTATTCCGAAATGAGAAATGGCACTTCAATATGAATCTCAGTTTTCAAGTCAAAACTGGTAAACACTGGGGGTTGGGGTCTGTTTTTGAAATTCTTCTTTTCAAAGCGCTGCCAACACAATCATAAACTCTAAGAACACTAGTAGTAAAAACCAAGACTGCTCGTACAATTCAGTGTGGAAGGGTTTGCGTTAAACTTTCAGCATCAAATTATAAAACGAGCTTTTTAGCTAGACTCGTGGCATGTTAATATACTCGGCGGGGCGCACGACGAATCAGGGATCAATCCCCAAGGAGATTTTTTAAATACTCTGTTTAAAAAAGAACCACCCCGAGCATATAACTATCTCCTTTTCTTCGGAAGTCGGAACAACAATGGAAAAACTATGGCGAAAATGAAATGACCAATCAGCGAATATTTTGCATGTATCCGCGATCAATTTTTCGTTACCTTAGATTCTTGAAATACAATTCAAAACAAAAATTTCTGCAGCAAGTGATATGCACATAATCAATCTGTCTGCTACTTTCGACTTTTAAACTGTCTTTTTTAAGGACCGACCTTGACCAGACCCTCCTTTTACCAGAAAAGTTATAACATGGACCGTTTACCAGACTCGATAAACAAATTTGATTGACAGATGTAATTACAACGTTTAGTATAGCTAAAGTCAATGTTTTGGGTCTAGGACAACAAGCCGACGGGACTTCAAGCCGAAAGGACTTCAAGCCGAATTTAAAACTTTACAAGAACCTCAAAACGCTATTTCTTCATCTGTCAAACGTTGCTTTTCGAAAAATTTGGCAAGTTTAGTCCATAATAAGCGTTATTCATGACAAAGCACCACTTGTGATGGGCATCCGTTAATAACATCAGCCTGTTTTTGAAATGCATAAATTATAAACATGAAAAATGCCTTCAACAATGTTTTACTTTCCAACTTTCCGAAACATCATTTCCAGGCTTAAATTATATGCAAACGCCAACAACTACCCGTACCGAACTTTTTGACCATAATCATGTCTGATCCTTGTAAAATCATACAAAATTCATGTCTGTAACAGATTTGCAACATGTCTATATTCGGCATGCCCATACCTGCATCAGACCTGCATCAGATGTGCTAAATGAAGATATGCTCACACCTGCAGGATGCATGATCATGCCTGAACTGAATATGCTCACACCTGCAGGATACATGATCATACCTGAACTAAACATGCTCACACCTGCAGGATACATGATCATACCTGAACTAAACGTGCTCACATCTGCAGGATACAAGATCATGCCTGAACCGAATATGCTCATAGCTGCAGGATACATGATCAAGCCTGAACTAAACATGCTCACACCTGCAGGATACATGATCATACCTGAACTAAACATGCTCACACCTGCAGGATACATTATCATACCTGAACTAAACATGCTAACATCTGCAGGATACATGACCATGCCTGAACCGAATATGCTCAAATCGGTATCTTCAGTATTATAAGATAATTAAAGAAATGGTTAAATTGTAACATCATAAACTCAGGTTGATAATGTGACACTTTACTTTTTCTGACATCGGTTAAATTTACTGTTGGTAATTTACTGTAGTGGTTAGATGCATCTTTCTTTAATTGCAAGCAGGGAGTCGTTGTTAGCGGGGCGTGTGGATAATTTTCTCTGTTTCCTGTCAACATAAAACTAACTCATTTTTAATCAAAAATCTGAAATGGGTAAACGAAAATTTTCAATGTTTTTTAAGTAAAAGTTTTGTTCAAACCAAAAAACAAAGATATGTCGTTAGTTAAGTTATATCCCCTCCATTTATAAACTTAAAAAACCATAAGATTTGTGTTTGGGGGGTGGTTGGGGTCTTTTGTTTGAAAAGAAATGATAAAAATGGAGGAAATATAGCTTCTCTTGTTTATTGGAGATTTCCGCATACACGCTGTAAACAATCTATTTGCATGCGCGGTTAAAAATAGCCGTGACAAAATCTGATTTTGTCATACGCAAGTCAGGCATTATCATGCGGCAGATAAAAATCAAACATGTGGCAGGCATAAACATGTTTCTTTCAGGTCTGATCATGTAAGATCCAGGTACGACCATGCCTGTAGACAAAAATGTATGTTCACCTGTGAACAGGACTGCATAATGCCAGATCAGTCCTGAGAAAAATCTTTACCCTGCTAAATGGCAGATCAGACATGAATTTGTACACAAAGTTCAGTACGGGTATTGAAGAAATATCATGTCCGGCACCCAATGTTTTCACGGTTTCTCCGCAAAGTTTGGTTTGTTCTAAACCGCTTTCTTTTCGAATCTTCCACTAATGTAAAATTCTTTTAATTGAGTTATTGCGTTGTGGTCTGGTAAAAAGTCGGTCTGGTAAAAGACCTAGCCCGGTCTTTTTTGACAGAATTTTTATATCATCTGAAAAATATTGATATCTTGTGCTCAAATTCAACCTGCGATCTTGTTTGGCAAAACATGAGAGAATAAAAATTACCAATTTCGTCAATTCCTAATGTTTTTTCAATGATAAAATTCGTGCCATTAACGCGTAAGCGGCTATGTATTCCTGCCCAGTTCTCGAATGGAGGCATGCTAATTTTAAACTAATACCTTACTCTAAGCTGAATGAATCATTTTGTACTATAAATAGCTCGAGGGGAGTGGTTTTCAAAAAAAATTCAAATCATTACATTAATTTTTGCGCTTTTGTATCCTGTGATTGAAAAATTGCATCCCAAACAGCGATAAATTCTTAATAATTACATAACTTTTGACAGAAATGTAATTATTAAATGTTTTTGCTCGCTCCTCCTTTATGACATAACTTGCCTGTGCATGATTCTGTTGATAGGAGGTAACATGAAGTCTATGTTCACGTGTGCTGTGCCTACTATCCGAAGTTTACCTTTTCCGAATGCTATCCGCGTGATCACATTCACACATGCAATCGGGTAGAAATCTGCCTGCAAAAACAAAGAGATGTAACTTGTTGCAATGCAAAACGCGCAGTAATATCCGAACACAGTAGTTTTGTAAAATCTTATTTTGGGCATAGGAATTAAATGTTTTGTAAAGCTTAAAGAAGTAAGAAGACAAAAAATTTTTCTCTTTTTTAACAGGTATAATTTAGTTTTTAAAGGGCGGGAGTGAACTTAGGGCAGGTGGATTTGATTTTTTGCCCGATTGAATTACACCTTAAGGATAGCAAGAAGTGTGTCTATTGGATTCCAAAAAAAACACAAAAAAACTATTTCTGTGTCGAACATTGTCTACTTTTTTTTTGAAAATCCGCCTTCCTCGAGAAAATCATAGATCCGCCCCTGTATATATAAAAAGGGGCACTTAGCATAGTGGTAAGGCGTTCACTTTAGAATCGTCAGATCGTGTAATCGATCCCATGCCATGGCAATGATAGTGTGTGAGAACGAGCTCTCACTTGACCTCTAGCTTCAGGTCTACCACAACCTGACCAAACTTGGCTGCAATAGTGGTACCACGTGAAAGTTCTAGACGCGAAAAAAGAGCTTCGCTCAACAAAATTACACAGTCTGGAATGTGGGGAAATAATACAAACGGCCTATCCTCGACAGGGCTGACTGACCCTAAAATTTTTCTAAAGGCGCCGTTGGCGCCAATATATACTAATTTTAAAGGGGGAATGCACGCCAAAAAAAACGCGATTTTCTGGTCAAATTTTTCCAAAAAGTGCTTTTTTTGGCCTGATTTTTTTGGCCTGATTTTTCAAAATTCTGAGCCGCATATATAAATTAAGTTTGGTTTTTTTGTTCATTTTTTCTCTTAAGATTGCTTTGTTCGAATAGTTTTTGCTATTTATTTTCACTGCATCTGAGTTTTTTAGGTAAGTTGCTGTCGTGTGATATTCCCTTTTAAGACAGCGTCCTAAGTGTCCGAAGAAGCAAAAAAGCCCATATTTCAGGAGTCATATTGGAACAATTAATTTTTAATCTATTTTTGTACTGTCGCTTTTTAGATAAATTTGTCTTTTGCAGACATCTTCTCAGTTTTTTAAATAACACATTTATCTTTTCACTCCGTCGTAAGTTACGCTCGACGCAGTTACAAAGAAATATAATATGGGCTTCATTGTAGGGCGTTTTATTTGAGAGAAAAAAAGACCGACTTATCTTACAAATAAAACAGATTAGGAAACTGATTGATCTCGCAGTGCAAACCATGACTGCTTCAGTTGAGCTTCAGAGCTGCATCAGAATCTGTTATGTACCAATACAGTTCTGATTAGAGATAAAAATCAGAAAAAAAAGATTGCAACATTGTAGCAGTACTGAATCATCGATGGAACATTGCTGGTGTTTCTCATTATCAGAGTTAATTTTAGCAACCAATTGAGCAGAAAAAGCCTAGCACCCTCCTTCGTTCCTGTTCGCTCAAAAGCTACCGATAGGCTGGTTTTAAGAAATCGCCACTTAGCATCATGTGATGTGTTCAAAATAGAGTACTGATCTGATATGTTCAAGTTTATGCTTAAGTAATCGATTATAGAGGGTTATTATGTTGACTTTTGTGACTGTTCCGACTTTCGATACGAAAGTAACGGAATATTTGTGCGCGGGCTGGGTTTTTTTCTTCAGACAAATTTCGACTTTTTAACTAGCCATTTTTGACGGAATTTTTTTAATATCATTCGAAAGGTATTGTTGTCTTGAGCTCAAACTTGAAAAGATATTTCACCTGTGGTCATTTTTCGTAAAGTAACGGGGGTTCAAAGATTGCCATTTTGGCCAATTTGGGACAATTAACGCGCGATATATTTCGCGCTATTAACGCGTAAGCGGAGAGTTAGTCCGTCTTAGAAATCGTTCCAAATTGGTTAAAAGAAGCTTATTTGCCATAATTGGTTTGTTACAGGGAGCAAAATTTATTCTTTTGTACTTTAATTGAGTGTGGGGGGATGATTTTCATAAAAAATTCAAATTTTAGGAAAATTTTTTTTTCATTTTGTTTTATTTCAATGAATTTTTTAATGTTATTACTGATCTAAAACCTTAAGAGGCAGTTGGAACATTCAAGGCTTCGCCCTGATACGAGCAGTCTTGTTTATATTTGAATATAATTACCAAAATATGGCGTTCAAAGGATTTATAATTGATTATAATCGTGATATGTACAAAGCGCTATAATCTCCTTAATCCGTTTTTTGGATTAAAATTGATGCAGAAAAAGTTTTTAAATCAGTAATGATCGACTATAAAGGATTGTAATCTCCTATTATGCCAAAACTTGTCACACTAAAAATATTACACACAATGAAAAAATTTTTATTTTTTCACCAGGCTTAATCTCTGAAAGTGAGATGTTTTTTTTTTGGATCATATGTTTTATATAGATCCCTTCAGATTAGTTGAAAAGTTCGCGCGATATGTTAAAAATAACTCTGTCAACTAAACACAAAACAAACAAGACTACTCGTATCAGGGCGAAGCGCTGAATGTTCCGACTGCCTTTTGGGAATTATGGAGCAGTATTAACATAAGAAAATTAAATAAAATATACCAAAAAAAAAATTTCTAAAACTTGAATTTTTTTAAATGAAAATCATCCCCCCACACGCCATACAAAGTACAAAAAAATTGATTTCTCTCCTTCTAAAAAATCAATTACGACAAATAAGCTTCTTTCAACCAATTTGGAACGACTTCTATGACGGATTAAATCTCCGCTTACGCGTTAATAGCGCGAAATACATCGCGCTTTAATTGTCCCAATTTGGCCAAAATGACAATCTTTAAACCCCAATAACTTTACGAAAAATGATCACAAGTAAAATATCTTTTCAAATTTAAGCTCAGGACAACAATAGCTTTCGAATGATATAAAATTATTCCGTCAAAAATGGCTAGTTAAAAAGTCGAAATTTGTCTGAAGAAAACAAAAATCCACCCCGAGCACAAATATTCCGTTACTTTCGTATCGAAAGTCGGAACAAAAAGTCTGCTGATTGTTGAATTGGTTTGCAAACTGCGAGAACATTTTCTCCATTTTTCACATGAGCCAATGTCTCAGCAAAGTGAAACAATAAGCAACTCAAATTCAAAACTGAAGATGAAATAAGGAAACAAAAGGAACTATAGTCGATTATTTTTTATTGAAAAGGGTTTTTGTTCGAAAAAAAATAAATTAGAAATTGAAAAAAAATAATAATCGATTATTGTCTAGAGTACTTGTACCAAAATTGGATAAATTATTAATCTATTATAATTGATAAAACGTATAATAAGTGATTATAATAAAGCGAAGAATTATCATCAATTAAATTTTGTTCATAGCAGATTTTTATCTTAATTTTAATAAGACTGGTACGTTGAAAGTGAAAAGCATAATTTCCTGTATTGTTTTTCTGATATGCGTTGAAGCATTTTGAACGAAAACTCTTTTTGATCATATATCCAATACTGAATATTTTAATCACAATTCACTCTGAGAACTTAGATGTCACATAGTTGTCTATGTTTTATTCGTGCTTGAGTTCTGCATATCTGCAAAAATGTTGTAAATCTGTAGCACTTATGATTTGCATTGTGATGCAAGCCCACAGTGCATCAAGAATTTGAAATGTTTCTTTTCAATGTGCAGGGTTGCAAACATTCTTTTCAAATCTGCAATAAGGACAAATTTTTGGAAAAAATAAATTTTGTATCATTTTAAATACTCAATCAAAGTGACAAAAACAGTTAAAATAAATTAATTTTAGATTGAATTGCACAAAAAAAAAACGTTGACCGTGTTTTCTTACATTTATATTTTACTAGGATCAACCATAATACCTGTTATTTCAATCTTAGAGCAAGATCAAAAATTATATAATAGCGTATTAAAATTTCAATTTGCTTTTTACAAAAAGTTAACCAAATAAACCAAAATTTTATTGTATGGAGTTGTATAGTTGTGAAGTGTTTCGATAAGTTAAAAAGTTGCATTTCATCGTAACTTTTTTCTGTAGGTTTTTGCTCGGTACCCATTTTAAAAGTTTCAAACAATTCTCTAGTAAATCCATTGGTCAAGGCAATACTTCAAAGACATCAAATTTTACATTGAAAATTATTTTCTCTAAATGTTAAAGTGGATTGTGATCAATTTTTTTCTTTCTATTGATCTAACAGTTTTAACTAAAATTCATACTACCATCGGGAAGTTTTTGATAGTTTGAGCTGAAACTTAAATCTTCAAAATGCAATCTATTTTTCTGTTGCTCCTTGCTAAGTTGTAAGTGATGCTATCGTGTTGATGGTACTCAGTTACTTTTATCGACTGTAGAAAAATTGTGTTTAACTTTGTCTTTCACAGTGACGTAGGACAATACAATTACATGTTAGAAGCAGCATCTGTATTAAAGCTCAAACATTGATTTTAGATGAAAAAAATATGCTATAATTTCCTTTCATCCCTGAGTTTTCTACTAAAAACATTATACATTAAAATGAAACGATGCGTAAAAAATTAGATCGCTAAATCGATATTAAAGTTTGAGCTTCATTACTTTCCTGTTACTAATCCTGAGGGGAGCAAGGCAATTTCCGCTGAAGGGTCAATTTTATCTCGAACTTGAAAATTGATCATTTTTTCTCAAATTAATTAGCAAAATCAGATAGAGCGAAGCATGCAATTGTCATAAATCTATATTTTAGTTTTTCAAAAAGAAATACAAACTGAAAATTTGCATCACCGAAAAAGCTCAGAGTTCGTGACACAAAAACACACATAATATGTTTTTTGCACTTTCAATCTTAGCGGCAAAAATTGTAAGCTAAAACATAACAGCAGTTCTGGGAAAATTGCCAAAAGCATGCAACAACTTGAAGTCGAAATGATTTGTCCTCAAAAACAATGCTCTTGCAGATCAAATTCTGAAGAAATGGATAAAATGTTTCTGCAACAACACTCGAAGTTTTTTTGCTGTTCTGATAGAAATGTGCTTAAGAAACATGTATCAATTTTTCAAAGTTTTCAAAGTTATATAAGATGGAAAAACCAAAAGAAGCAAGTTTTTCTAGAGATCAACATGATTCAGAGAATGATTTGAAATGTAAGGCTTCAAAAAAGAATTCAATTCGACTCTCTCGACAAACTGTATCAAACAGAAACAGAGAAACTGCTTACAAGTCGCCCCTGCCCCAGCGCAAAAAAAGAGACAAATTCTTCGCGAATTTTTGTAGACGCGTACGTTTAAATTAAAAACTGACGCTAAAAATGATGATACAAAAAAGGCGATTTAAAGGAACATTGACCAGTTGCGGCACAAAACTCATTGGAAAAGTGGAACTGCTTGATTTTAAGCTGATATCTGAACCAATTGAAAGAACACCAGATACACAAAACACTCGGACAACCCCCTAGGTTTGGCGTTTGCATTTTTTTCCAAGCTACACTATAATTCATGAACATGCAATGATTGATCATTATGGTGTTAAAAGTGACATCAATATCTCTGCATCCTCTGATTAAAATCAATGATCTTTCAATTTACCACAGCACTGTGAATGTATTTTTTTGTGCGATTGACACTATTACTTTCGGAACACTTATTGAAACAACAGATCTTAAACCTGTTTCGGAGAAAAAAGCAGAGTGGATGGAGAATAACAAGCTTAAAAATAACAGAAGAAAAAGGTTAATAATTTGTTACAAGTAAATTAAAAAAAAATTTTACATGAATTTTACGTGAAACCGAAACATGATTGAACTAAAAGGGTGCAGTTATCCATCTGCAAAAAAAAAACAATTTGGACAGCACACTTACATTCAAGCAACATATTGAAACATGAGGAAGAAAATGTAACCATTTTAATTCTAGTTTTTATCAAACAAGACAGTTTATCAGCTCATGTCTTTCATTATAAATTACAAGCAGTGTATAAAAACAATAGATCTGTATAATTTTTTAGTGCGCAGAAGTGACAACCAAACCGTTTTAAAAATTCTGCAAATTAAACATAATTTTCTAATTCAAGTAGCGTTTCTATTGTTTAAACAAAACAAAAGAAGTAAACACTATAAAAAATGGAGATCAATGGTTCCCCTACGTACGAACTATTGAAACTGTTCTTTAAAGTAATCAGACAAAAACTATCGAATGTCAAAGTGTCTATTTTTTTCAATTTAAGGAAAAGCCAAACTAATTGATACCACAAAAAAAAATCTTTAACACAACAAAATTAGTTGAAACGAAAAAAACCTAATACGGATGAACACAGACATTAATAAAGTCGTTGTTTACTCGCAATATGATCATCATTAGAGAAATTGTTCAATGAGCCTAAACAGTCTATAGTCAGCCTAATTCATACGTCGAGAGATAAATAATTTATTTTTTTGCGACTATTTTAATTGATTTTTTGGGAATCAATAAAATAGTGTACACCCAAAAATTATATATCGTTTTAAATTGACATGAAGCAAACAAAAATAAAAAGTATATAAATAATGCAAACCTTCTTTTTTGAATTTATTTCTAAAAAAAACATATGAACAAGATGCTAACCCAAGTTAACTATAAGAGTTCAAGACTTCTACTTTTCTTGGTTTACAATCTTTTTTTTTCTGAGCCAATTGTACACAAGTTAACCAATCAGGTCTAGATGATAAAGTAGTTCATAGAAAACCAGTCAGCGGCGCCTCAATAGGTTGAATTTTTCTGCGCACAGTTTGGTGCTTTTTCAGTGATAAATTTCTTTTATTGATGGATTATTGCCCAGTTTGGAACAAAATTTTTTTGATACTATTATAAGCATGAAAAATTCATCATTTTGAGTTTGTCATTGCTCGCGGCAGGCAAAACTATGTTCAAAAATCTGTTTTTTGACCCAAATCGTGCAATATTGTCGCAGTAAATATTTAATTATTTGACTAACATTTTTTTCTTCTATACATGAATGATATTCGAAATTTTACTGTAAATTAAGGTTGGAATATTTAAAACAAGGATAAAAAAGACAAACAAAAGTATGTAATATATATAATTCATCATTAGTTTGAGATTTTTAATCATTGAAAAACTGTCTTTTTCATATCAAGAGCTGTGGGATTTTAAAACAAATGCAAAAAGCTGCAGAATGGTCAAAATCATCGGTACAATTTCATTTTTTGATCTCAAAAATAAGCAATTCTCTGAATTAATTCGTAAGTTGACAAATGAATGACTATATTCCAAACATTCTTACCCTGATGAAGACCAGTTTTTTCCCTGCAGTGGAAAAGTCCATAATTTTTGCCATGTACTCATAAGGAGATAGTCCATGGTTTTGACCATAGTTTAAGTAGGTGTATTCTTGGAGTCTGCAACAGCCGCCTGAAATGATTGAGTTTAAATGCTGGCTGTGGACTTTAGATATGATGTTTCAAGATAATCATACGAAGTTGAGCCTGACCTAATTTAATTTTTCTTCGCTCAAACAACCATGAAAAAATCTTGAATTTGTTTCTTTCTTCAAGGTTGTTCCAAGGTTGTTTAAATGAAGAAAAATTAAATTGGGCCAGCCTTAATTTCGTATGATCATTACATATATACTTGTTTAGCTTCTAAATTATTATTTTTCCTTGGTAACTAAAAAAACTGCAGGTAGTTTTTAAACAGGGGCACACCCGAGCATATCCGTGAAGAACTGAGTGGGTCATAGGTTGGTCCTTTCCCTTGAGGAAAAATCGTCTTAAAACATCAGGCTAGCATCATTTGTCACTTATAGTTTTTTTAAAAAAAAACACAATCAACCAAGTCTACAAATACTATTTTATATCCTCAGAGTGCATTTTTGTATAAAACAAATCATAATTTTTAGTAGGTACCAATTTTTTCAGTCTACTTTCGTTTCAGCATAATTTTTCCTACTTTCAGGCCTAAAAAACCTTCAGGCCTAATTTTCTAAAAAAAAATTCCCCTCTCAGAAGCATAACGTATCGCAGACGGTCAACACTGCACAATTAAACAGTGAGTCAGGCAACTGGAGCAGGGGCGGATTTAGGGGGGGGGGGGTGGTTTGGCGGACGCTTCCGACCGCCCTTTGGTACTTTTTAAGAAATCAATTTTTGGCCTACTGACCTTAAAGTTTTTCTAAAGGCGCATTAGGTGCCATTATAAACTAACTTTGAGGGGAGCGCGCGCCAAAAAGACGCAATTTTTTTGTCAAAATTTTCCAAAAAGTGCCCAAAAACGTCTTTTTTGACCTCTTTTTTCAAAAATTTTCTTGGGGCGCAGAAAACTTGGCCAAAACAGCGTCTTTTTAGTGCATTAGGAGAGCTATTAAAATCAAGTTGGTCGACTTAAAACAAAACTCGGCTCCCGCCCCCTCGAGAAAATAAAGATCCGCCCCTGAACTTTATAGAAAACGTATTGCTTAAGTGACAAAACTGTAATGATGCAATGATTTGTTCAAAATGAATGGCCTTACAATTTTTTTTTCACTGTTGACCATAAAAAACGAGAAAAATACATTTTGCTTAACTTTATTTCCATTTTGGTTTCAATTCAAACGCTCACTTGGACATTCAGAAAAAGCTTGCATTTGGTAAAACATTGAGTGTGAAAAAACGGTTTCAAAAATTTCATTTTTTTGTTTCGACACTATATATATATATATGCGTTGGGTGGAACAAACGCGGTCCGAGAATGGGGAAATAGTTAACAAAATTCAAAAGGGGCGAATAGCTAACAAAATCTACAAAAATTCTTCAAAAAAACTGACAACTTGTTTCTTTTCAACTCGTTCCTTTAAAGAGCGCAACGCACTGTAAAATCTCAATTACTGAGAATACTTTTTATTTTGTTAGTTCCAATTTTGCCGAAAACACCTTTCGTTCAGTTCAAGTATCAAATGCTGGCAAAAAGTTTTGGTAAGTTCTTTCCAGTTTACAGCTCAACTTTTGTTGCATCACAAATACTGACAATACGTTCCGTTCAGTTCGTTTCAATTTACAGCTCAACTTTTTTGGTTAACTATCAGTATTTAGACAACCGCATATTCAGACTGGTCAGTATTTAGACAAATACTGTTTCAACCAATCAGAATCGAGACACAGTAGAAATTAATAAATAACTATTATTTATTTTGGATTATTTATGTCTTTTCTCGATTCTGATTGGTTCATACAGTATTTGTCTAAAAACTGACGAGTATGAATACGCGGCTGTCTAAATACTGGCTGCACTCCACTTTTATTGTTTATCAAATACTGACAATATGTTCCATTCTTTTAGATAAAAAGTCTTCCATTAAATTTTAATTGTTATTACGCAATATCTGTTTTAGTTCATTTTATTAACAATATCAGAACCGGCTTACATATGCAGTTTCGGCTAACAATTTTCGCGCATTTCACTTAATTTTGCGGAGTCTTCTTACATTTTGCTTAATACTTCTACAGTTGCGTAATTTAGAAAGACTAGCTATATTCGCTTGTTGCGGAATCCGCAACAAAACACCTGTGATGACATAAACTATGTTATAGATTTCTGTAGGCGGAAATTACGGAAATTTTTGTAAGTTTAATCCACGCAACTGGATTAAACAGGGGCACACCCGAGCATATCCGTGAAGAACTGAGTGGGTCGTAGGTCCTTTCCCTTGAGGAAAAATCGTCTTAAAACATCAGGCTAGCATCATTTGTCACTTATAGTTTTTTTTAAAAAAAAAATCAATCAACCAAGTCTACAAATACTATTTTATATCCTCAGAGTGCATTTTTGTATAAAACAAGTCATAATTTTTAGTAGGTACCAATTTTTTCAGTCTACTTTCGTTTCAGCATAATTTTTCCTACTTTCAGGCCTAAAAAACCTTCAGGCCTAATTTTCTAAAAAAAAATTCCCCTCTCAGAAGCATAACGTATCGCAGATGGTCAACACTGCACAATTAAACAGTGAGTCAGGTAACTGGAACAGGGGCGGATTTAGGGGGGGGGGGTGGTTTGGCGGACGCTTCCGACCGCCCTTTGGTACTTTTTAAGAAATCAATTTTTGGCCTACTGACCTTAAAGTTTTTCTAAAGGCGCATTAGGTGCCATTATAAACTAACTTTGAGGGGAGCGCGCGCCAAAAAGACGCAATTTTTTTGTCAAAATTTTCCAAAAAGTGCCCAAAAACGTCTTTTTTGACCTCTTTTTTCAAAAATTTTCTTGGGGCGCAGAAAATTTGGCCAAAACAGCGTCTTTTTAGTGCATTAGGAGAGCTATTAAAATCAAGTTGGTCGACTTAAAACAAAACTTGGCCCCCGCCCCCTCGAGAAAATAAAGATCCGCCCCTGAACTTTAGAGAAAACGTATTGCTTAAGTGACAAAACTGTAATGATGCAATGATTTGTTCAAAATGAATGGCCTTACAATTTTTTTTTCACTGTTGACCATAAAAAACGAGAAAAATACATTTTGCTTAACTTTATTTCCATTTTGGTTTCAATTCAATCCGTTTCAATTCAATTTTGGTATCCGTGAAGAACTGAGTGGGTCGTAGGTCCTTTCCCTTGAGGAAAAATCGTCTTAAAACATCAGGCTAGCATCATTTGTCACTTATAGTTTTGAAGCAATTTTAAAGACTTGTCTCTGAATTCCACCAACCTACAGACACCAAATTGTGCGCCTATTCATTGCACTGTTTGGACTCCTAATGAAAAGGTCTCCTAGACTGTTTGGACTCCTAGATCATTGCACTGTTTGGACTCTTGTTAACTGAAAAGGACTGACTTGCTGGCCTTATTTCAAATTGGAATGCATGAAATTGCCGCTTACACTTGTTATTGGAATACATTATATCGCTCGTGAAATATACCAAATTGACAAAATTAGCAGTTTTCAGGTAACTTTTCGCAAAGGATCAAAAGATAATTCTTAATTGAAGTTTGAGCTCAGGACTACCTATCTCTCAGATGGCGAAAGAAAACTCCGTCAAAAAAGCTTAAATGAAGTGAAAAATTGAAAAGGAAACCCGAAGCATAAATGCCGCACTTTTTTTTAGAAAATCGGAAAACAAAACCTCTTATATCAGGGCAAATCCCTGAAGGTTCCAACTGCTTTTCAGGTCCTTGAAAAAAAATCACCTCACTTGCTATGTGGAGTACGAATTATATAATTCGCGTTTAGCAATGTGAAAAGCGGTCAAATATCACGCCTGAATACAACTTGGAATGCTTCCTGAGGCGGGTTAAATCTGGGCTTTCGTGTTGATATCACGGAATATATCGCGCAAAAATATCGAAATTCACAGTTTTTAAACCACCAAAACATTGCAAGAAAACACAAGTTAAATAATTTTTTCTATTTGAGCTCAAGACAACAATAACTTTTGATGACACAAAAAATTCAGTAAAAAATGGCTAACTAAACAATCAAATTTTGTCTGGAGAAAAAAAAACCATCACGAGAACAAATATGCCGTTCTTTTTTTTCAAAAGCCTGAACTTCAATAAATGAAACTACCCATAAAACTGAACTGGCTCAATTTGAAGAAAAAACTAAGCTGATAGTTCGCAATTGTCTTCAATGGCGGAAATAAGACACTCTGAAAAAATGAAGAACTTGATAATTTCAAACAACTAAAATAACTGATTAAAGGTTGCATCCGAGGTGTTTCTTAATGCTTTTCCGTTGTTTTTGTCAAATCAAGGTAAATTTTCCGCTTCTCAACGAAGAAATAATTACTTTACTAGCCTAGAAGAGAGATCGTTCTGCTTGCAACATTTTTATCTCGGATCCTCTGCCTTGAGAAATTTATTGACTTCCTGTGTACTAACTGTATCGCAGTTGAATTTTAATATCCGTTTTTTTCTTTGATAAACTTGAGAATCTTTTCTTCAATTAGTTTTCCATTCAAACTTCAAATTTTTCTATGAACGTTCCTCAATTGAAACTTGATAATTTTTGAAAGGCGTTGACAAAATTGAAGTAGGGCATGATAGAAAAGTATAATTTAGAATGATATAAATTCTACTCGCAATGCTGATGAAAGCACACTATTTTTGATCTATCTAACTGAGTTCATTTTTACTTATTTGCGTTTTATTTGTGATTTTTGGATTTGTGGCTTTCCCCTTACTTTATAGATTACATGAAATCAGATTTTAAATAAAACTCAGATAGGATTATGGAGAAAACTAGTGAATAGATCCAGTCTTTTCGATCCAATTCTGATTTTTTTTTCATTGGTAATTGGTGCTTGATAACTCTTTTCGTGTTTGATTTGTTAGCTCAACAACGTTGAACTGACAAAAGTTTAGCTGCTTAACTCAAGTTGATTTTAATTTAACAATGAACAATTATGTTTTTAATGTACCTCGATTCTGCTAGTAATTTTTCTTAAAAATAGTAAGATCCACTGAAAGGGCATTAAGTAAAAGTAAAAAAAAATTCCCGTGTCTTATGCGCTAAACGGCCCAAAATAAAAAATTGTACATCTTGGTCTTATGTCATTGTGTTTCAATTTAATTGATTAATTAGCCAATGAAATGCAGATATCATCGTCCCGCATTTCAATTAAAATTTGAAGCACTTAAAAGTATTGGCCAAAATGACCAAAAAGATAACAGTTTTTTCATTGAAGCCTTTTTAGTGAAATTTTCCAGACTGGGAAAAACTTCACAAAAAACATAAAATTTATTAAATTATTTGATTACGTTTCACATTTTCGTTAAATTCGGCAAATATTTTTTTCTGCTGGATAGTTGATTTAAATGCCTGGCCATGGTGCTTGAATTTGATTGGCTGATTTTAGTGCATAAATTTATCTAAAGATTTATAAAAATTTGAATTTGGGCCGTTTTTTGCATAAGACTCACTCTCCCAACAAATATGCACGTCTTGAATGCTAACTATCCACGGAAATTGAAATGGAAAAAAAATGTAGGGAATGTCATGCTGACACTTGTCTCTTGAACAAAAACGTCAGCTTGTAGAATAACAACCAATCAGTAGCATAACGATCAATTTGAATATACTGACAACATTTGTCAAAGAACGCATTAAGCCATAGTCATAGCGCACAAAAAAACCTAATGCTTTTCTTCCTAACTGCAAATTTTCACTAATAATATTTTTGTTAAAATTGTCAGATTGTTACAAAAACAGGGCGTGCTCAAAAATTGGACTAATTAGACTATGACGAACATATTTGGTCGTCATGCTAAGCCTTGTCTAAGTCCACTCGTTACACCATAAAGGATGCTTAGGTGAGGTAAAGGGGATGGGAATAAAGATAGCCGTACTTGAAAAATTGAAACTTAAGGGTACTCCTTTCCAGTTTCTCAAGCCCTTCGTGAAATGACAATACAAATTTGTTTACAAGTTGTTCAAGGGTATTTGAGACGGAAGAAATGTTGTTACACTTTGTTTATTTGTTCACGCTGCAATGTATTATTACAAATTGGCTCATCAAAAAACAGGCTTTTGAAATAGAAACTTAAATAGGTTTTCAAAAATCCATTTTCGGAAAAAAAATTAAATGGCGGACTGAAAAAGAACCAGCATTCAAAATAGGAGGTTTAATTTGAAAATGACAATGATTTAAAGGAGTCAATTAAGATGTACGTCTTTGATTCTTGCTATCTAATTGAACATAACTGCACAAAAAAAATACATGTTCCCATTTTCTTGCCCTTTTTGCCTTTTTTATCCGATACTAAATAGCTCCTAGAATTTTTCAAAGACCAAATTCTGCGCGCAATAGGTGTCTATCACAATGAAAAATTTCAATCATTTAAAAAGTAGAGTTACAAATAAATCGACGCATTTCGACACACACACGAGATAATCATATTATACAAAAAAAAGATGGATTATGATTCAATTTCCCTGACCTCTATCGTCTCCGAAGCTGATGACTCCGAACCAGTTGAGATTGGTGTACTCCCTCAAGACTCTTCTCCTGAACTCACTTGCATCAGTGTCACTCCCCCGATAGTCTGCATTCGGCATCACACCACAATCAAAGTCCAATTTCGAAATATTTGCAAGTTTTTTGTGCGTGAATGAGAATGGACACAATGAGTGGAAGCATAAGCGGGTTCTTATGTTTATATTGCTACACCCTGAATTTAACTTGCCATTTTTGACATTTTTTCAAGTTGCCATTTTCGAAAGGGATCCCCGTTGATATGGTTTCGAATGATTTCGAAACAATTTACGGTAAGATTACGGTAAATCGATAAAACACCGGTTTAAAAAAGGAAAACTTCTGTGTCACGTGCAAGCCTCTGGGAGTAAAAGTATGATTAGTGCCAAAATGTAATAAATTTTCAAACCTTTTCCCCTTAGTCCATGTTTTTTCATAGCTCATACCAGCATAAACCTAGTTTGATTTTTTTTCTAATTTCTTGGAGCTGATTTTAAAAACACTTTCGAAAAGTTTGTATTCATTTGTGAAATTGAACGCTGAATTATGCCTGAGTTAATAGAGTTTGTGAAGTAGCCCAGATGGCAGAATTGTGTGCTGAAACAAAAAAAGACAAAATATTCGGCCCTATTTCACCTCCCCCCACATTTCAAAGTTTCTGGTTTTATTGTTGTTTGACATGTTAGTTTGGCTAAATGCGTGATGCTACCTTGTCAAATATGAAGATCAAAGTGTTTAAAACTAGTTACTTGTTCATTATGCCTAGCTTTATTGCAAAATGATAATGTTAAAACGGTTTTGAGTTTCAAATGTGGGAGCGAAAGTGGAAAAAAGCCAAATGTTCAGGAGATTCCAAGAGAGCAACCTTGCACTGACAAAAATGGATTAAGACCGTCTTTAGCATGAAAAAAAATTATAGGGTAAATTGACATCAATTTTGGTATGAAAAAAAGTTTGAAAAAAATTTAATTGAAATAAATTAATCTTGAATTCCAGCTTAAAAAATTGATCAAAACTAATTTTAAATTAAGTTAAATTCCTTTTACCAAATTTTATTTGTTTTTAGGTTTAGGATAGTTGAAAACCGATTTGAACTGATTTTTAACCAGTTTCAAGTTTCTGTTGCATTTACTCCATTCGCATCTTTTTTCATTTAACATCCATAGCGTCTGGTAGCATAATAAAAATTTAATTTGTTTTAAAAACTCATTTTTATGGTTCAATTGGAAATAGTTTAATATGCCACTTACGCCAATCATTGAAAATATTCTAAAAATTTTATTTTGAAATTTTTGGGCATTGCATATTTTGAGCTCAAAATCAAGATTACATTGATTATTTCCTTTGATTTCATAACATATTTTTGAGCTCAAAATCTGATTTTAAAAGACCATTTTCTTGAATCATTTTGTAGAATTTTGCTCAAAATTTGACATCTATTGATGTTTTTGTACAATTTAATCGCATGATTGTGAGCTCAAAATCTGATTTGCATCGGCCTTTTTCTTGATTTGATACATATATTTTTTTCTAAAACGATTAGCTATGGGTTTTTTAGACACTGTAACCAACCTGCTTAGGTGTCATTTTAGACACTGTAACCAACCTGCAAAGATTTTAAATGGATTTTAGCAAGAATCGGATGGGTTTGTTTTAATTGGAAAATCCATCCTAACCAAATTAAATTGATATTTTAGGCAATTAATTCGATCCATAACTTTCGAGAAAAAAATCATTTTAAATCAATTTAAAATCCATTTCAGCTTCTAAAACTTACATTGCTGATTGATTTTGAATGATTGGACTGATTTAAACTCATTTTGAATTTAATTTAGATAAATCCAAAACAATTTGTGTCAATGTGTTATACTACTCAATTATCTCATTTCAATCATTTTGTCTTGACCTGCTTAATCGAGCTTAATCGACGTTGGTTTATACAATTGATTTGGAAAAGTTTTTGTTTGTCAAACATAACCGCTTTTCATGAATGAGATATTAGAAACATATGATTTCCTGTAGGCAATCCTTGATAAAAAAAATGATCAATAAACAAAAGACCGAAAAAACAGATGTAAGGTCCTTGATTTTTACTCGTTTTTGGTCGCGGCTCGAGATTTCTAAGCATTTAACACGTGAAAAGACTATAAAAACTCTATTTTATTTCACATTTAAAAATTTGATTTGGTTCAGAATCTTGCCAAGTTGGCTCGGAATTTTCGCTAGTTGATTAAGAGCGGCTAGTTTGTTCAAATTTTTGCTAGTTGTTTCGGAATCTTCGCTAATTGGTTAATTGTGGCTAGTTAGTTCGAAATCCTTGCTAGTGGATTCGGAATCTTCGCTAGTTGGTTAATTGTGGCTAGTTGGTTTAAAATCTTTGCTAGTTGTTTCGAAATTTTTACTAGTTGGTTAATTTTGGCTAGTTCGATCAAAATCTTTGCTAGTTGTTTCGGAATCTTCGCTAGTTGGTTAATTTTGGCTAGTTGGTTCGAAATCCTTGCTAGTTGTTTCGGAATCTTTGCTTTTTGATTAATTGTGGCTACTTGGTTCGAAATCTTTGCTAGTTGATTCGGAATCTTCGCTAGTTGGTTAATTGTGGCTAGTTTGTTTAAAATCTTTGCTAGTTGTTTCGGAATTTTCACTAGTTGCTTAATTGTGGCTAATTGGTTCAAAATCTTTGCTAGTTGATTCGGAATCTTCGCTAGTTGGTTAATTGTGGCTAGTTGGTTTAAAATCTTTGCTAGTTGTTTCGGAATTTTCACTAGTTGGTTAATTGTGGTTAGTTGGTTCAAAATTTTTTCTAGTTGTTTCGGAATCTTCGCTAGTTGGTTCGAAATCTTTGCTAGTTGTTTCGGAATTTTCACTTGTTGGTTAATTGTGGCTAATTGGTTCAAAATCTTTGCTAGTTGTTTCGGAATCTTCGCTAGTTGGTTCGAAATCTTTGCTGGTTGTTTCGGAATCTTCGCTAGTTGGTTAATTGTGGCTAGTTGGTTTAAAATCTTTGCTAGTTGTTTCGGAATTTTCACTAGTTGGTTAATTGTGGTTAGTTGGTTCAAAATTTTTTCTAGTTGTTTCGGAATCTTCGCTAGTTGGTTCGAAATCTTTGCTAGTTGTTTCGGAATTTTCACTAGTTGGTTAATTGTGGCTAATTGGTTCAAAATTTTTTCTAGTTGTTTCGGAATCTTCGCTAGTTGGTTCGAAATCTTTGCTAGTTGTTTCGGAATCTTCGCTAGTTGGTTAATTGTGGCTAGTTGGTTTAAAATCTTTGCTAGTTGTTTCGGAATTTTCACTAGTTGGTTAATTGTGGTTAGTTGGTTCAAAATTTTTTCTAGTTGTTTCGGAATTTTCGCTAGTTGGTTCGAAATCTTTGCTAGTTGTTTCGAAATTTTCACTAGCTGGTTAATTGTGGCTAATTGGTTCAAAATCTTTGCTAGTTGATTCGGAATCTTCGCTAGTTGGTTAATTGTGGCTAGTTGGTTTAAAATTTTTTCTAGTTGTTTCGGAATCTTCGCTAGTTGGTTCGAAATCTTTGCTAGTTGTTTCGGAATTTTCACTAGTTGGTTAATTGTGGCTAATTGGTTCAAAATTTTTTCTAGTTGTTTCGGAATCTTCGCTAGTTGGTTCGAAATCTTTGCTAGTTGTTTCGGAATCTTCGCTAGTTGGTTAATTGTGGCTAGTTGGTTTAAAATCTTTGCTAGTTGTTTCGGAATTTTCACTAGTTGGTTAATTGTGGTTAGTTGGTTCAAAATTTTTTCTAGTTGTTTCGGAATTTTCGCTAGTTGGTTCGAAATCTTTGCTAGTTGTTTCGAAATTTTCACTAGCTGGTTAATTGTGGCTAATTGGTTCAAAATCTTTGCTAGTTGATTCGGAATCTTCGCTAGTTGGTTAATTGTGGCTAGTTGGTTTAAAATCTTTGCTAGTTGTTTCGGAATTTTCACTAGTTGGTTAATTGTGGTTAGTTGGTTCAAAATTTTTTCTAGTTGTTTCGGAATCTTCGCTAGTTGGTTCGAAATCTTTGCTAGTTGTTTCGGAATTTTCACTAGTTGGTTAATTGTGGCTAATTGGTTCAAAATTTTTTCTAGTTGTTTCGGAATCTTCGCTAGTTGGTTCAAAATCTTTGCTAGTTGTTTCGGAATCTTCGCTAGTTGGTTAATTGTGGCTAGTTGGTTTAAAATCTTTGCTAGTTGTTTCGGAATTTTCACTAGTTGGTTAATTGTGGTTAGTTGGTTCAAAATTTTTTCTAGTTGTTTCGGAATTTTTGCTAGTTGGTTCGAAATCTTTGCTAGTTGTTTCGGAATTTTCACTAGTTGGTTAATTGTGGCTAATTGGTTCAAAATCTTTGCTAGTTGATTCGGAATCTTCGCTAGTTGGTTAATTGTGGCTAGTTGGTTTAAAATCTTTGCTAGTTGTTTCGGAATTTTCACTAGTTGGTTAATTGTGGTTAGTTGGTTCAAAATTTTTCTAGTTGTTTCGGAATCTTCGCTAGTTGGTTCGAAATCTTTGCTAGTTGTTTCGAAATCTTTGCTAGTTGTTTCGGAATTTTCACTAGTTGGTTAATTGTGTATAATTGGTTCGAAATCTTTGCTAGTTGTTTCGGAATCTTCGCTAGTTGTTTCGGAATCTTCGCTAGTTGGTTCGAAATCTTTGCTAGTTGCTTCGGAATCTTCGCTAGTTGGTTAATTGTGGCTAGTTGGTTGGAATCTCAGGCAGAATACAATCCATGAAAATATATGGGGGTCTTATTGGTGTCATTTTGTGGCATTAAAACATAGTAAGCGTTCATTACCTGTAAAGAGCACATTTTCGTCCAACTGGATCTGTTAAATCAGGAAGTACAAACATCCAGTGCTCCTCTAGGAGATCATCTGACAAAGCACTGGAAGGGTGAGACTCCAACGCTGAAACATGTGATCATATTTCTTGGAATCAGCTACACCTGCCAAGTTTTTTTTCTCCCTGTCCGCTGTAAATATTATGTTAAATTTATGCAGAAGTGTTGTTGCATTTGGGCCGATTAAGTAATATCAATAATAACTCACAGGTCTTATTCTCACATGGACTACCAGCCAAATAAACAGCTTCGCAAGATTTTTTTATATATTTTTTTGTGGAATTGTTGTAGCAGTTGAAGGTTTGTGAAAATGGAATATCAACTTTGGTTCACTTTTATTTTTGTTAGGTGGTGCAATAGCGCCTCTATTTGCTAAACATAAAAGGGAGAGAAAAGGAACTCACCAAAACAACCACTTCAAATAAAAAAAATATCTTTTTTGACACTTCTGATATTCGAAAGATTTATTAGATTTTTTACCATCTAAAAAGTATCCCCGCCCGCAACCACTGGCAAAATATTTGAAGCAAATATTTTGCCAGTGGTTGTTTTTTGCTTAATTATGCATGCATGAAAATTGGTCAGCGGCGAATTACTCACTAACGCGTGAGCGGCGAATTACTCCAGCTCGAAACGTGTTTTAAGTTGATATGAAGCAAGATATTTTGAGCTTTTGATATCTTCCCAAACGTTGATACTTCGCCAGTTTATTATTTGTGAGACCTTAGAACTATTCAAAAATATACTGCGATACGAGGAATTTTGCTTGATTTGATTTCACAATTTAAGACATCTGTTATATAAACTACTACTTTTTTGTCAGGCAAATTTTCTGTTTCAAAATTGGCCCTCAAATCGCACATTTAGAGATCAATCTTTTGACTATCGAAGGCCGGAATTGGTTTGTCAGTAATAATAAGTACTTTTTCAGAATAAAACCGGTGTTGTATTTGTTGCAGTACTGGTGCAGGGCAAAAACAGAGAACCCAAAAAATAACATTCTGTTGCAAAAAATTTTTCGTAGTGAAGTAATCAGCTGGAAAAAATTGTGGTTTTTTGCAAAAAAAATTACCACAATTATTGATTGTCAATTTTTTGTTACGTGTTGTTAATCGTTAAAAAAGTCAAAACGATGGCTTTTACTACAAAATGGGCTAAAAACTGGGTAAATCCACAAATCTTTTCCATCTTTTCTGTGTTGGTCGTTAAAGGGCTTGAGCAACTAATTTTTCTGGAAACAGGGTAATTTTAGGTTATAAAAATAGAAAAAAAAAGCATTGGAAAAATTGTGCTTCACTTCAAACCCCCTCCTTCTCCCCCACCACAGCTAGAAATCAATTCAAAATTTATCAAGTATTTAACTCACTACAATTTCTAATAGCGAAAGGATTGACTGAGTTGATTGAGTTTATATTGATTTGGTATCCTGAGACGGATTGGTTGCAGTTTGGTAAAAATCTAGTGCCACTTGTCCAGTACTTGTTCATTACTGTTTTTATACTGTTGCATTACTGAAACAGTACTTATTTTTACTTACATTCCGATCCGGTGATGCTTTGTCTTGAAATTTTTCTGCAAACCAGCATAGTTGTAAGCAAACATTTTGAATTTTGATGCTTCATTAAAATTTTGCAGTTTGGCAAAACAAGGCGACCGAAGTTTCGTTTTTTTTGAGCTTTTCTACTTATTTTTTAGGTTTTTTAGTTGCTTATGAGAAAAAAAAATGCCAAAAAATGTCGAGATGGAATTGATAAATAAATGCTCAATGTTTTTTTTTTGATCGAGTGTAATTTGAATGGATAGCGTTTGCCTTCAAAGAAGTTTTACAATTCCGATTGTCTGGATCTTGCACTAAATGGATTTTATAATTTTAATAGTCACAAGAATCAACCCAGTAGCCGATCATTTTGACCCCAAAACTACCTTTATTATTTACAGTAGCGCAAACATATTTGCCATAGGTTACATTTTTTGACTATAAGCGTTGAACTGTGGTAGCAAAGTTCTGCAAGAAAAACTCTACTGAAACCTAATGTTAGCGTTTTGTTGAATTGGCGGATAAGTTAAACACAGCAAAAGCACATTGTTCCATGCATGCTACGTCGCAAAAGTTTCTTTTTATTTGAAAAGTGATTTTCCAGCTTTAAAATGTCGTTGCTCGTTCGGAGAGGAGTTTTTTTGCCCGCATCTCGTTTATCAAAACATACTAATCATCTCTTGATGTCTCTCGGTTATCAAATAAATCTCAGGTGGAGCACATTGCACTATTTGCAATTTAAAAAAGGGCAAAACATTAAGCAAACTGAATCAGCTAAGATTGATCCCAACAGTGGTTTTTTCTGCAACTGAAAAATTACCAAACTGGAGGCATTTTGATGTCGGAGAAGTTAAAACTGGGGTGACAATCAGATATTCAGTTAGCGTTGCGAAAAAACCGTGAAACTTTTTGCCGATGAAATAGCATCTAGTGAGTTTTCATTTGATGCTATTCCACCTGCTATAGATTTTTGAAGTTGTTATATAAGTTTCTAGCAAAGGAGCTCATGATAAAGTTGGCAACAGTGATTTCTGGCAACATTGATTTCTGATTTCATTGAGTTTTCAACACTGAAACTATAATTTTGAATGACGGCTTGCAAAAAAAACCGACCGAAAATAGCAAAACATCAGCTAATGTCTGCTGATCTCTCAAAAAAACAGAAAACACTTAGCTTGTACGAGGTCACTTTTATCTTTTCAGCTGACAAATTTATTTTATCGCCCTTAAATGTGATAAATGGGTTGCAGATGAAGAGTGGGATGCATCAAATTTTTTTGGCAAAAATGTAGCCTCATCAGTGTTGATAAAATTGAAAACATTTTGTTTTTTTGTAACTTTTTTTTCGCGAAAAAAAATGGTTTAAAGTGCAACTTATATGAAAAATATCAAACCTACTTGTTTGGCAGAAACGATTTGGCAATAATTAGAATCTAACTTATTATTTGTTTTAAGAGAAGAAATGAAAGCATTGAAGAACTAAGACAAAAATGAAAAAAAAATACTTCGTAAAGGAATTACATATCTATAAGTTATTAAAGTTCTTATGTAAGGTTTTGAGAAAAGAGTGCATATCGGCCATTGTCCAGGAAGCTGTAACTGAGAAAAATTTGAACACATTTTGAATAAGAGAGTTTTAGCTAATCAGATACCTGTGCAATCAAATGGTAATCAAAAAAACTTCGACAAAAGTTAGAATTAGAAAACTTTTCAACTTTGTTCTAAAATACCACCCAAATTTTGTAACTAAGATTCATAGCTGCACAGAATATCAATTACAAATCTTCAATCTTGAGCTTTTGGACAATTTTGTTTTAGGAAATTATCAACTGTTTAAACTCATTTTTGAGTAGAAATATAATTTAAAAAATAATTTGCTGTCAAGCATAGGTTTACTACTGAAATTCCCCGTTTTTCGCTTCAAAATTGTTTTTTTTTCTTAAAATCATTAAATGAAAAAACAACAGAAGTCATAGCAGGATCAGGGGCAACTGAAAACGGGCAGCAAAGTTCCACGGCGTTCTCGCATTGTTATTTCCTTTGGTTGTAAATGTAGTAACTTTTACAATGAATGGAACCTAATTTGCAAACAATTTCTTAAGATTATTATAATTACTAATCGTTTCGTAGCCAACATGAATAGTGGAGATCTTCGGTTGTAACCATGTATCTCCGGTTGTAACCAAGCTATACTAGCTGTAGATTTAAATCGAATTGATTTTACAATTGCAGTTGTTTTTCAAATGTTGCAAGATTAACACTTGGCAATTTATGTTAGGAAAAAACTTCTCGACCCAGCTGCGTTATGGAAGAGCCCGCAAGGGGCTTTCTCAGTAAAGAAAAAGCAAATTACATCCAGCAATATTTTTTTGCTGCTGTTGTTTGGAACAAAAGTCTTGAATATGTTCGATTTGCGGTTTTTCGTTTTGTGTTTTTGTTTCTGTAAATTAACATTTTTTTTGGAAAAGTGAAAATCGGACAATGCGATCTAAATGATCAAGTAATTTGAAATGTCTAAAGATTTTTTGATTTTAAAAAATGCCTTTCCTAAGTAATAGTCAGAAATTTTTTTCTTAAACTACCAACATGCAGTCTATGTCAATTAGCCTGCCCTCAGTTCAATTTGCAATGATTTTAAAAAGATCAAATTCCTGGCACAAGGGTTTTGTTCAAATAAGTATAAGGAAATTTACCCGAAAAAAATACTCGAACATAAAAGCATCTAATGATTTATTGGATTTTGCACTCCGGTTTTCAAAAATTTCAGCACGTAAATTATTTTACTCGAAACTGTTTAAAATTCTTTGGATAAATTAACAAATTGTCAAGCAAAAATATTTAAAAGTCGGTATGACAAATGGATTATGTAATAAACGTTCAATCCTTTTCGAATGAGTAATGAATCTGACTAACAGTCTGTGTAAATCTCTATTGAATGCAAGGGGGGGGGGGGTGCTTGCGGATTTTCAAAAGTTTTTTGTCGACCTTTTTTTAGTTAAAATAATTAGAGTTTCCGAGCTCTCTCAAATGACTTAAAAAACCCTGGTTTGGCCAAAGTTTCTGCGCCGCAGGCAAAATTTTAAAAAAACAGGCCAAAAAAGCGTTTTTAAGCATTTTTTTGAAATTTTTTACCAAAAAATCAAGAGTTTTTTTCGGCGCGCGCTCCCCCCTCAAAAGTAGTATATTGGCCCCAAAGGCGCTTTTGTAAAATTTTTGGATCCGTCAGCCAAAAATTATAACAATCTGAGATAGGTGCCTTCCGTATCAACTAAATGTCTCACCTGAAAAATAGCTGGAGATCAGTACCAGCTGAAATATGCCGAGGAAAACTTTTGATGGCATTATGACTGATAAATAAAAACAACTATTCTCAGCTTTGAGAAGGCAATGATGATTTTGATCTCTGCTCGACTTTCAAATTCAATGCAAAAGAATCTAGGATAGTATAAAGGTCGTTGATTTTGGCAAACAATTTTGTCAAATTTTGTTTATTTTGAAACCGGTAAAATGTTTGTTTAACACAGGCAAAACAAAAAGTGACAAGGTGAACTAACATTTTGGGGATTGAGGTCGTTTTGGGGTAAGGTTTTGGCTGCCTTGAGCAAAATTGGCTCCGTAAGATTTTTATTAGACCGATGATGAATTTTGAAAACTTTTTGAGTGTCGTCTTACTCAGCAAAAGAAAAACCTAATCATGCGATCTTGTTAGACAATTTATACAGTAGAGGAATGCACTAATCTACAAGCGCATTCCTTTAATGCACATTCCGCCTCACCAAAATCAATTTTTTTGCTAACATGCCAAAAAACATGCAATTTAAAAAAAATGATCATAAAATATTTTATTCTTGACTTTTTAAATAAAAACAGACGTGCCAGATGTTTGAGAAATCAAAAAAAAATGATCCACAAAATTGACTGTTTGAGCTCGAAAAAATGCTCAAAAAAATCATAGTTAAAAATAAGTTAGAAAAATCTATTTAAATAGATCTTTCTTGAAAATGTTGGATCGATTCAAGTGCCTATAAAAAAAAACAATTTCAACCGATTCGGATGGATTTTCCGACTCCCCAAAATCCATCCGAATCTCTGTTAAATCAATTTTAAATCGAGTTAAATCGATCTTTCTTTTAAAAAATTTGGATCGATTCTAGTGTCTAAAAAGTCAATTTCAATCGTATTGGATGGATTTTCCGACTCACTTAAATTGGTTTTTTGTTAAGACGGCAAAAAACATCGATTTAAAAAACTGGTTGAAATATTTAATTCTTGGCGTTTTAAAACAAAAATAGACGTGTCAGATGTTTGAGAATTCAAAAAATGATCCCTAAAGATTAAAATTTTGAGCTAAAAAAATGCAATGAAATCATTGATAAAATAAGCTCAGAAAATCAATTTAAATCGGTTACATGACAAAAGATCCCTAACCTGAAGATCCCAAACGACAAGATCCCAGCCAATAGGATACCATTCCAAACAATACCTCGTTCTAAAATCGCCCACGACATAAGATACCATAATAAAATAATCAAGAACCTGAGAATTGAAAATAAAGCGGTTAATCGATAAAAGCAAAAACAAAGCGTCGATTAAAATCAAAGAAGAGGCAAAAACTTTACTGCACCAATTTCAACATATAGCACCTTTGCTCATCACTTGGCCTTCAAAGAGAAACTTAAACTTTACAACAGCTTAGACGACAAATGAACTTGAAAAGGGTTTCCAATAAATCAAAACCAACTTTGCCAAAAATGGCCTGAAGTCGGTAAAAAACTGAAATTGAGTTTTGCAAAATTCTTAAGCTTTGAAATCTATTTCATTACAAATCACTTGCCATTCTGTTTGATAAAAAATCAATTCTCAATTTTGATCAATTTTTTTCCGTCAGGCCCCTACCTCCAACCTAGCGTCCCATAAATAATAGCAATTGCTCTGGGATCAACTTGCTAGAGACAACATTTTCGAGTGCGAGTCATAGTATTGCGTTTCGCGTTCTCCAGGAGGGTACAACTCAGGAGACGACTACAGGAGACTACTCAGGAGACGTCCAAAAAAAGTTGATCAAACAAATTTAGTTTTAGGAAAAATTAGGCAAAAACTAAAACAAAATTTATTAGGTTAAAGGGGCAAGTCAACGGATATCAGACAAAAAGTTAGTGTCTGTGTATGAACTTGTTATCTGTTGAACTTTTTTATTCAGATCATGGTGTTTCGTCCACCGGAATAAGTTAATAATTCCGCTGGATGCCTTCAAATTATTGAACTTTTGATTGTAGAAACCCAGTTGAAATTTTTCGAGAAACGTATATATTGAAGGTTGGCTGCCTTGAAACAAAACGGTTATACCTAGATGCCACCCTTCAATTGCATTTGTGATTCGGGCTAGACCAAACACAGCATTTTGACAATGGTTCTAAAGAGAAATAGGAAAAAGTGTTTTTCGGCCAACAAAATTCCCTTTATCTTACGTTTTTTGGAAATAAGCAGTGAGGTCGTCTAATTTTTTGAGATCTTTTTGTGAAATATTCAGTTTGGTTGCCACACTGCATATTTCCTCAATAACTAGGTCGAGCCCGATTTTCACTTTTGAGTCCGGCACAAAACTAAGCGCAGGAATCATATTCAGCGCTAATACTAGCTCGCTGTTTGATTCGTAGGTCTTTTTAAGTCCCAATTCGGATATTTTCCGCATAAAGTTCTGGCAGAGGTGAAAATAGCACCCCTTCATGTAAGTAGCGTAATGAGACGTAAAAGCACTCAACAACGCAACTTCAAGGTCGAGCAAAATTCTTTCCGTGGTTACGTCACCGACAAGCGATATAAGTGCGGCTAGGAATTTGTTATAGGTTGATAAGCGCTTATTGCTAAGCAGAGCGTAGACGCAAGGTTGATGAAACCCGTCAACCTGGATGTTTACAGTGTACAGCTGGTAAAACTGGCTGGGGCAAATTTTGAAAGTACCGTCTACAAGCCAGGTTTTTTTGTACAGTTTAAGTGCATTGAGGTTCTCAATGTCACCAAAAATTAATATGCGTTCCGTATCTTGTGTTCCGCTATCAAAAAGACAAAATAGCGTAAAAGGATCGGGTATTTTGATCGGGTCATCTGTGGCAATAGTGGGCAGGGATGGCGTTTGCTTACTTCTGTTTAAAAATTGCGTTAGCGCCGACCGGGAGAGCAAAGACAGTTGCGTTGCTTTGTCGTCCTGCACCAATTGCAAACTAGCTGCGATTATCTGGCTGTTTACTGGATTTAATTGACTCCTAACTGTCTCCTTCATTTGCTGAACTAGTTGCCGAGCTTCTGAACGTCTGTCCTGCGTTGAGCTCGTGACTCTGCTCGTTGCTGTTTGAGATTATATCGCTCCCAGAAGTGAATAAAGTTTTCGGGCATTTATACTATTTCTATTTGCTGCAGCGCCAGTGGTTGTTGTCTTCGTATCGCGTTTTTTTTTGAAAATCATTGCCGTCAAGAATAATCAGTGTTTGGCCTTTTTGTGAGGTTCCCCAAGAGTTCATTTACGACTATTCAATGAGTTAAAGAGTGAGATAAGGAATGCAGAGTGTACACATTTCATATTGAGTGGTTCTAATTCAATGCCAAATTAACGCTATTTTAAACGTGTGTTGGCACTTTGTTAATCTCAAAAATGAGTCCAGTTTAAAATTAGTTATCTTAAATTTGCCTTGTTTTTTAATAGCGCGAACCTAATTGAGATATCATTACTTAAGATTTATTTCTGCTTACACTTTGATCATGATTTTCGATCATAATTCATGGGATCTTTTTATTGGCATAGGATCTCATGGTATGGTATCTTTTTTCCTGATACCTTTAAATCTATTCAAATCAATTTGGATCGATTTTATTTAAGGCCAGATTAAAGATCAATTTAAATCAATTGAAAATTGATTGGAATTGATTGCGAGTAGAGTTTAGAGTACAAAAAGTTCACCGAATTATTTGTTAATTTCGTTGACATGTATTATTTCAAAGCCAACATTATCGAAACATCATAGCTAGCTCAAATATTCCTGAATTTCTTCGAAATCAGGAAAATAAGAGTTAACATTCCACAGGACTTGTAACTAAGAATTCACGTTGTGATTGCTAAATCACCAATCAGTCAATTATAGGGCGATGACTAGTGCCACATCCAAAATTTCTCAGCTTCAATGGGCCGTTGATTTCCACAATTTAAACTTCAAATCATAAATGAAGGGAGAGAAGTTTCAGCAAAGTTAACGACCACCGATGATGAGGATGAATCTTGTTAAAAGCACTTAAAGTTAGTAAATATGATGGTTTAAGTATAGGTTGTAAAAATAGGTTTAAATATGATGCTCCAGAATGGGTATGTAGCAACTTGCATGCTTGCAGCTTAGAATGTGCAACAATTAAAGTAATAAGTCGCTATGATGTAGCACGCAAAGTTTAAGTTTTAGTTGCAAATTAGAGACAACAAACTCAATTCTAATTGGGCTAATCGCCTCATGCTAAGAGGCTCGCATACATGTAGGCCGGTCCCCCTCCAGTACAGTTTTATAGGAAGCAGTTTTTAGTAACATCAAAAACTCACTCAATTCCCAAATTTATCTCTACTCATTTCAGGAAAGGCTGCCCCGCAAAGATAGAGCTCGCTGCATCAAGTCTTTAAACGTTTCAAGCATAAATATGGTTCATCGTAACTCCATTCATCCATTCAGACTTGGTATATCGCAACACAGAGTCAATGGAAATTTACCCAATCAAAGCTGTTTTGTGTACCAAAAAAAGTTTGCTGAAGTTGAGAATTTACTTCGTGATAACTTTTTTCTGGATATATGGGAATTGTTTAAACCTTAGAGCGTTTGCAGCAGAAGTTTGGAAACATCACATCAAGCACGGTATGTTGCGCTATCAGTGACATAGGGGTTACTTGGTATGGGGAAAACGGTCATCAAAAACTGATTTTTTTCCGAAATTGTTTGTGCGACAACCATGGTCCTATCAAACAATGCTAAGAATGAAAAAATCTGTACAATCGAGGATGGCTTGGTACAGTACTGACGAGAAAATCATAGTTCCTGGGAGGCCCATCTTCAAATTTTTATGATGGCATTTGGTCAGCCGTGCTTGAACCCACCGGACAAATCTTGTTTCCATATGATGTTTGGCGCAGAAATGCGAATGCGTGTGTCTTTATCCAACTGAGCTAGTTTGTTTTCTCGTTAGCTAAGTAAATTTCCGTCTCATTGATATTGCTTATTTGTTCTCTTTTTTCATAGAAAGTGGTCTCATGAAAAAAGAAATAAAGCCATAGTTGAAAAATGGTTCCCAAGCTTATCACCCCGTGTTTTTAACGCCCTTTTTCGTAACCCCCTCTCACATCACCCCGAAATTAGATAACCCCACTACAATTTAACCCCTTTTTAATACCAATTGTTAGAATCAAAGTGAAACTGACTTGAAAGGAATTCGGAACCATGTCGTCGGTAAACATCAAAGCTTTAATTGCGAAAAATTTTGCCAACCAAAATTAATTAACATGCACGCTGCTAAATGCGTTTTAAATTTGAACAGAAATGACCTTGCCGATAGTCTAGACTTTGATATGAACTTGAAAACGAATCCGACCGACATGACTCAGTTTATTTACCAAAACTGATTAGGTTTTTCGAAAACTGAACTTGATCTTGAAACAACTCCTGCCAAAGATAGAATAATTGGCTGTTTTTAAAGTAAATATGGAATCAGAACTTGTTGTGACCCAAAATTTGATCTAAGCGGACCATTTTAAATTGAAATACTGATCATTTTAAGTAAAACTTATCTATTTTTTCGAACCATCTAAACTTTGTCAACTTTTTTTTGAATTGTCGGCATACAACGCAACGTCTAAAGGGTTTGCCAGCCCCTAGTACCAACCTAGCGTCCCATCCAAAGGAGCAATTCTTCAGGGAGCAAATTTCTAAAGACAGCATTTTTCAAAAGCTAGTCGAGTGAATGCGTTTTTTTACGTCTCCGGGAGGCTGCAAGGAGACGTCTTTTCTCAAAAAAATTGACAAACAAAGTTTTAAATTGATGATATATACAAAGAACAAAAGAACAAACATTTAACTCAAGTTCGCCATAGCGCGAAAGGAATGCAAATCCTTTTTTCTTCGTAAACATGCATAATATTCTGCACTTTTTCGTTGAGCATCGGTTATTTTTTCTTTTTTGTAAATTGGTGCCCACTCGAGGCGTTATAGAAATTAAATTTTTGGACGGAAGCGTCTTTTTGCAAATTCGCTTACACTTTCCATATAATGGGATGCAATCCACTGAAGTATGACTGCATGCCAAAATGCCAGCCCTCTACAGCATTTGTTGTTCTGGCCAAAACCGATGGGGTGACTTTGAAAGTTCCATCAGCCAACCAAAAGTTAGATTTTTCAAGCACACGTAGCATTTCAAGGTCGCCGAATAAAATAATCCTTTCGTGATCATTTTGCCCACTGTCAAATCTTATAAATTTTTTGAAAAGTTCGGGTATTTCGAAACTTCTGGTTGCTGGGGAGAGTGGTAAGGCTTCTTCTCGTTGCTTGCGCACTCGTTGTGCGGCGCAAACTACTTTTTTTTGGTTGGTAGGGCTAGTTGAGTGGCAATGTCGTCTGTCTGTATTGGGCTGAATGGCGGTAGCGACTGCGACGGTTGGGCTATTACTATCGCTCACATCCTTGATATATTTTTTTCAAAACTAGTCGAGCGTCAGGTTTGACCGTAGAAATGTCGTTATTATGTCTCGTTTCAATCATGTTTTCTCCATCCGTAATTGCTGTTGCGCGGCATTTATGGGTTTGGTTCTTCGAGCAGTTCCAATTTGTAGTTGTCTTGTTTTTGCGTTTAAGGTAATACTCGTGGTCTGATACCACTAGCATTTGTTTGTGTTTCGTAGATAAAGTAAAATGAAATGATGCTTCAAAAATTATATCTGATCTGATAGAGTGGTAAAACAATGGTTAAAGAAATAGGCAGTAAGATTTTTTATGAAATTCACAAACATCTTTTGTTGCCTTTAATTAGCACCATGTAGGCTTTCTCTGTTTTAAGCGCGTAAACCAAATGCAATTATTTTTGAGATGCTAGAGGCATCAAGTGAATTAAGACAAGCTTTTCAGGCCTCAAATACTACACTTAACTGGACTACTCCTGTACTTATAAAAAGGACTTAATTTGAAACTAATTATCGTCATTAAAAGGGGTTAAATTGTTGTGGGGTTATCTTGTTACAGGGTTATAATATAGGGGGTGTAAACATAGGGGGTTAAATATCGTGGGGTTAAAGAGTGGGACACCTTGAAAAGTATATCTATGGACCAAGTTACCAGTTACATGAATTGGTGCGCACATTTCATTAGTTTTGTGCTAGATGCACTTGGTAAAGTTTGCATGGCTAGGTCCGTTCTTACTTTTTATTAGTTGTCTTACGGCTTGTGGCCTTCTCTTTGGGAAGAGAAAAATTTAACATTCATTGACCTCTTCTCCTCCCTCAATTTTACTGAGCAGTTTATTACTTGATATATTTTTCTCGGGTGCAGATTACTTAAATTTTTCATATGATTTTTTCGGTCCTTTTAGGATATCCCGGAGGCATTTTATTTCAATAAAGATTGCAAAGATTTCGAGGCCAAAAGTGTTTTGCTTACTTTGATGGATTTTTATTTTACTTTGGCAAATCCTAGATAATTGTCTAAAACTTTTTCAGATGTTGAATATTTCAATTAAATTTATTCAAAGTGCATTTGGGGGGGGGGGGGGGGGATTTGGGGGGGGGGGTAGGCCCGACGCCCCTTCTCAGGGATTCGACCCCCTGCCGACATAAAGGTTCCCTCCTTTGTACTATTTTGATATATCCATTTTGGTGACGGAGCCTAAAAGTTTTCTAAGAAAATTCGACCAAACAGGGTCTTTTTAATGCTTTGGGAGAGCTCGGAAAATCAATTTGGTCAACCTAAAAAAAAAGAAGCTTTTTTGAAAATCCGCCCCCCCTCTCGAGAAAATTTTAGTATTAGAACTGGTACTGAAGGAAGACTACAATGGTAATATTGAAATTTTTAAATTAGAATTACGGCTGAAAATGCTTTAGGAGGCCGCTTTTTTCATACAGCGGTGAACTTTGTTTCAGTTAAATGAAAAGTTCTGTGAAAAAACATAGGCATAGATCATAGTTTCCTTATAGCTCCCGTTGAGAGAGAATGGAATAAAAATATGACTGAACAAAGCGCGCACTCGATTTCATTGACTTTTACAATTTAGTTGTTTTAAGCAAAAACAATTCAATCTTAATCGCATAAAAAGGAGAAAAGGGCTTTGTAGAAAATTGTAGAAAAGGCTATGAAAATGATGCTCACAGAAATATTGTTTGTTAGTTTTTGTGGATTAGTAGTCCTTGAACATTATTTTTCGCAACTAGTCACCGAAGTCTATAAAATGATTTAAAATGGTTTTTAACCTCAAATCTGGTCCCTTGTATTGGAACGGTTTTGTATTCAGAATGCACCAGATTCCATTTTGACTGGATTGAGTCTTACATACCATCCAGACTTAAGCACCTGGTATCAATAATCTCTTCAAACTGAAAGGTTTAGCTCTTACTATTCAACTCAGATGACGAGTGAGATTTTTGAGGCCAACTTTTGACCAAATTACAGCAGAAAATAAACTGTAGAGCTAATAACAACCATGCTTAAGCCATGCGTTTTAGTCTTCACAATTTAAAAAGTTAGAAATCGTTTTATTACCAAAATAAGAGTCAGTCGATATAATTTATTACAAAATTATCTCTTCGTCTTCGTCATAAATAATTATATTTTTCATTAAATTGATTTTTGAACTTGATTTTTTATAACTTTTTGTCGAAATTACAATGAATAAAGTGAGAGGAGTTCGAATGAAAGGAAGTTTCAAACAGTTCCAAGACGAAGAAGAGTTTTACAAGAAGCAACAACTTGACCAGTACTTAGAGGACACTCGTAAAAACATAGAGATAGTTCACTACAGTTTCCTGCCGCAGAGCAGATCCCATTTCAAACAACACACTTTGGACGTGTACTATGATGAGTCATTAACGAAAACCCCCGCGGTGAAGTCACGTGGTGTGAGCAGGAGGGGTACTCAGGTGGTCCCCCCAGTTGTGCCCAAATACACTGATGATGAGCGAGCGGACATGGAACGAGAAGTGGCTCTATTGTCAATACAGCTCAGTGAAAATCGTTAGTAAAGTGATAAGTTTTCAAGCAAGGAATTTCTTAGAAACGATCCGAAAAAATTGGTAGCTTATCATTTCGTTAACCTTGCAGTCATTCCCTTAAAGTCATTTTAGTCATGATTTGAACAAATTATTGAAATTTCTCAAAACTTTTCTTAGTGTTGAGAAAATTTGGTTTCAAAACACTAGTTTTTAACCTAATTTCGAGCGTCTGAAGCGAGCGAGTAGGGAGCGTTAATCATATAATACTTCAAAAAACGAGTTTTTTCAGCTGAGATAAATAGATTTGAAGCTTCAGTTGGCACGTTCTTCAACACGAAAACTTGAAAAACCCAAAAAATCTATAAAAAACGGAACATGAAAACAATAAAACTTTATTAATTGACTTTTTTATATTTTCGCAGGCAAAAATTTATATTTCGATTTTGTTATGAATTGCGATAATCATAGTAGTTTACTGAAGCCAGTAAAAAACTTTTCTAATACCGTGGTTGGAAATTTTGATTCCTACTTACGCAGGAACCAGTTGTCCGTGTTTGCTTATGAATTTCTGTAACAGTCGTTTGGAATACTTAATTCGTGAAAATTTTCCGCCCATTTCAGGAACTCAGAAGTAACTATGTACTCCTGGGTTTTTTTTTCTTCAAAAATATCGGTGTCCAAGTAACTTTATTGTTCCGACTTTTGATACGAAAGTAACGGAATATTTGTGCTCGGGGTGGTTTTTTTTTTTAACTAGCCATTTTTGACGGATTTTTTTTTATATCATTCAAAAGGTATTGTTGTCCTGAGCTTAAATTTGAAAAGATATTTCACCTGTGATCATTTTTCGTAAAGTTGTGAGGGTTTAAAGATTGCCATTTTGGCCATTTTGACCAATTTGGGACAATTAACGCGCAATATAATTCGCGCTATTAACGCGTAAGCGAGATTTAATCCGTCCTATAAATCGTTCCAAATTGGTTGAACGAAGCTTATTTACCATAATTGATTTGTTACAAGGAACGAAATCTATCTTTTTGTACTTTGTATGGCGTGTGGAGGGATGATTTTCATAAAAAACTTCAAATTTTAGAAAAAAAAATTTTCATTTTTTTTATTTCATTTATTTTTTTAAATGTATTACTGCTGCTCAATAAACCTTAAAGGCAGTCGGAACCTTCAGGGCTTCGCCCTGATACGAGCAGTCTTGTTTTAATTTGGGATGATTTTGAGCCACTTGAAGTTGTTGTTCACTCTTCTCGTTTTTAGAAAACTAGTAAAAAGTATGAATTGATTATTTCAAAGTATCTCTCGAATGTGTTAATAAGTATTACAGCTAAACAGAATTTTGATTTTGATGAGTCAATTTTTTTAAGAACTGGTAATTAGCCTTTCGAATTTTGGGTCAAAGAGTTTCAAAATTACGCCATTTTCTACAAACCAAAAAAGATGGCTTCTTGTTATTTCGTTTATGATATTAAATCAAGTATTTCATTATCCAAAATGGTAGATAAATGACGACAAAACTCTGAGTTTCTATGCTATTCAGACTCATGTTTAGCAAAAAGCTGGTAAAACTGATTTATCCCTGCTAATGGAAATAACAAAAACTTGAGTCTCTATTTTTAAAAAGGAGCTACTCAACGAAAATAAAAAGGGCACCGAGTAAGAATTAATATTTGCACTTTTTGCCAATTTTAATTAAAATTTCCAAAAGTTGGATAAGTGTCAATGAAATCAAAAATTGAAAAACAGATGATTATCTCAATGAAATTTTTCAAATTTCAAGGTTCTTTAGAACAGACATTTTTTCATCAAAGTAAGCAGAAAACTGGAAATAGATAATTTTTTTAAATTCAGCTGTAACATTTAAAAATTGAAATTTTATTTTGAAAAGAAAAAAGTCTTTCATGTTTTTTTTTGCGCAATTTGCACCGTTTTGTTTTCGTTTCATAAATTACCTTCGTTTTTGTAAATAAATTAGACTTGAATTTTCAAAAAAAATCAAATCGCCAAATATCAAACTTTTCCTGAAATAGCAATCAACATGAAGTGTATAGTTTGAGTTTGAATTCAATTTGTGTGGTTATAATACAACAAACGATGTATAAATACAAACCACACAGGGATGATTCACTAGCCAAAGACTCTTTTGGGAGTTGCCCTACATAAAGTTAGTGAGAAAAAGAAAGCTGATTTACGGTCACTTCTTAGAAGATCAGGTCAAAAGTTCTGAATTTTTGTTTATGTATATTCGTTTATGGTCTTAAATTTATTGCAAAACAGACCTTTTCTTAAACTTTTTTTGACATTTTTCAAAATTATAAAATTTGTTAACCTTGACATTAACCAAATTTTGATTTAAAAAAGGTGCGACAGGTAATAGAATAGAATGTAACTTTTTTTGGACCTAGTCAATCGTTTTTCTGAAAACGTCGAAACATTTGAGAAACAAAGCGTCTTCTTGTGAATTTTTTTTCTACGTTCGTTGACACTTGAGATAATTTTTTAAACAGCTTGCCTCATATTTGGCTTCGTGCAATTTTTTCACATATTCCAGGCTCTTTGGTGCTTAGTTTCAAATTATTAATATTTGTCAAGAAAATGGCAAAATAAAAAAAAATGAATACTTAACATAAAATTGTTTTTTATTTTTTTTTGCTAAAGTTTACCGTGATCGGAACATATTGTGGTACGTGTTCGAAAATATAAGTATTGAATTACTGAGACAAAAAGCGAGCAATAATGGTCCGACCTTAAAAAAAGATCCGAAATTGAAAGCAGCTCGACCGTCCATTAACCTGAGCAATTCTTTTGTTTCAGCATCCCGAAGGTCATCCAGAAAAACTGTGAGGTCAAGATCCAGTCGGAAGGCAGACGGAGTGGACATGGGAGGTCGGAACAACACGGCGGCCTCCTCGTTCTCTGCTGCACCCCCTTCTGCGAGTGAACAAGTTCCGACAGGGGAGAAGCTAAATGCCCGACTGAATGCGAGGAAGGTGGAGCGAGGCCAAAAGGGGGAGGGGTGGAGATTGCCCAGCAACAAAGATCTTACGGGTGAGAAGAACCTTAATTAATTATTTGACCAAGAACCGATAAATTCAAGGCTTTCAAATTTTTTGAAAACATATCTTGGAAACTTTTTTGAAAGAGTTAAGTAGGGCGGATTTAGGGCAAAGGGGAGGGGGGCGTCAGACGCTCCCCTTCAGCCTTCAGGGATTCGACCCCCTGCCGACCCAAAGGGTCCCCCCTTTGTACTGTTTTGATACATCCATTTTGGTGACGGACCCCAAAAATTTTGGCGCCAATATATACTAATTTTGAAGGGGGATCGCGCTCCGAATAAACGCTATTTGTTGGTCAACATTTTCCAAAAACTGCCTCAAAACGCCTGTTTTGGCCTGTTGTTTCAAAAATTTGCCTGCGGTGCGGAAAATATGTTCAAAGTGGGGTCTCTATAGTGCTTTAGGAGAGCTAAATAGTTGGAGCTGGAATTAAGTATTTTTTGAAGGTCTAAAACAGGGGCGGATCTAGGGTTTTGTCGACCTTTTTTTACATCGACCAAATTTATTTTTTGAGCTCTCGCAAAGCACTAAAAAGTCCCTGTTTTGGCCAAAATAATTGCGCCGCAGGCAAAATTTTGAAAAAAAAACAGGCCAAAAAAGACGTTTTTAGGCACTTTTTGGAAAATTTTGACCAAAAAATTGCTTTTTTGGTTTTGGCGTGCGCTCTCTCACAAAAATAGTATATATTGGCGCTAAAGGAGACTTTAGAAAACTTTTAGGGTCCGTCACCAAAAATTGATATCTCAAGATAAAACAACAGGGAACCCTTTGGGTCGGCAGGGAGTCGAATCCCTGAGAAGAGGCGTCCGCCCCCCTCCCTCAAATCCGCCCCAGGTCTAACTAAAACAATTTCAAGATTTTTTGATTTGCGTATATTTAGGTTAAATCCAATTATTATAAAAAAAAACAGATGCTTCAGATTTTTTGCGAACTTAAATCATGCTCTGAACGAAATGAAATAGCGGCCCATGCTCAATAGTGAAATGCTCAAAAATTATGTTCGCCAAACAGAATTCACAAAAATAAAACGAAAAAAAAACGTGAAAATTAATAAGCTAAATGCAATCTTCAGTTTGGTGAATTTTTCGGGAATTCGGTTCTTTGCTCATAAAAACAACCCCCAGTATAAAAAGTAAATTAAGTAATCTTCATGTTCAATTGCAGGTATCTGGGGATCGAGACGACTTTACTTGCAGAAATTGACCTCTAAAATGGACCGGTCACTGGAGTCGCGAAGTCAAGGCATACGCCAGGGTATAGCAAGTGCGCCTCCTCAATACTTCGCACGTGAAAACACTTTTTCGACCATGACTGGAAGAGATCATCCCCCCGCTACAGCTGCTACACGACCCATGACTCAAAAACATACGGCGCCCCCCACCAGGGGAAAGTTAATAATACTAAGAGATCATGCACTTGAGCGGACAACTCCATATGCGACTAAACTGACACTTGAAGACATAGCTCTGCCAACAAGTGAGCACAGAAAGGGAAGAAACAAAAGAGTAAGGTATCAACTCAATGCGTACGGGCAGTCGAACCCCTTTATTGGGCATCTAACGGGACCCGAGACATCTTCACCCCGAGCAAGTCACATGATAGCCACTTGAAAATGTGAAACTATTTTATTAATTTTAGACGCTGCGTGAACTCTTCCAACATTGAATTGAACGTAATTTGTATCTGTTCCCGTTTCTTAATTAAACTCAACAAAAAAGGAAGCTAGTTTTACAAATTTTTCAATTCTAGTTTGGAAGTTTTGGAGAAAAAGAATACATTAGTGGACAAAAATCAAGCGCAAATTCAGGTTTTCACTGTCTAACTCGCCTGTTTTCAATTTCCCTTTTGAGCTAAATTTACTTTAATTTTCTGCAAATTTTTTAGATAGATCGAGAGCAAACAATCAGAGCTACCCTCAATGAAGTTATTAAAACTTGCTTTCAAACGCTTGCCAATTTATCCAGAGTCTGAAATTGTTAGATTTCCTCATCCGCACCAAATTTTTCATCGGAGTAAACTCTTTTATGAATAAGCGGAGTATAAAAAATCATACGACATGAAACGTTATCAGCGAATAAGCTGAAACAATCAGTTTGAAAATTTTACAAGTTTCAGCTGGTTATTACGTTTTCACGCGTTTTGAAAAATATAGGTCGGATAAATAAAACTAGAATGTTTAGATGTGAAAAGATTTGGGAAGCGTTTGAAACCAAATATTGATAACTTCATAAAGGGTAGCTCTGATCATTCGCTCTTGGTCTCCCGCGTTGACCTCCGCCCATGCAAAAGGCTAGCCATACAATTTTACAAATGGAGCTAATGAAGAAAGCTAGTCATACAACTTTGAAAACTGTATAACTAGCATTTTTCCAAATAGCGCTTTTTTGCATGAACGAAAAATTGATAAACTAAAACTGACGGTTTTTAAACCAGATATCCTAAATGTAATGGTGTTATTTGAATCGATTTTGGAGACAAAAAAAAATCCAGAAAACTTATTACACAATGCAACGTTAAAGATGCTATTCAAAAAAATTCATACTATTAAAAATGTGTGGCCAGCACATTTTTAAAACAAAATCCAACATTTTTTTTTCAGTCGCAAAAACATTTTTTATCACCCAAAAAAAAACAAATTTCAAAAAAGTTTTTGTGTGTAAAATTGAAATTTTTTTGTTTATAACGTAGCCCAGACACAGTCTTTTTGCACATAAAAACTATTAGAATGAGGGTTTTGTATAAAGCCACATTTATTTATTTATTTGTTTTTATAAATTAAGATGATTTTAAGTTGCAATAAAGAACGCCGCAATTTACAAACACACAAACTTTCACAAAAAACTTTTTTTAAGCGTTGACAAAAAGTTACAATTTTGATGAAATAGAAAAAAAACGCGGCAAACCTTCAATTGCGGTTTATCTGTGTCATTGTTGCCACCGAACTTGTAGTTTTCTATTTGAGAAAAACGTTGGTTATTGTAAGGAGGAAATCATTAGGAGAAAATTCTATTCACATAATTTCATGCAGCAAACTAATGCTGGTCACGCATTTTCACAAAGCGATGAAGTTTTAGTCACACAGTTTCCCACTGTGAAAATTTGCTAGTCGTCGATTTATCAGACATTTTTCTTGACGTGTAAAATGCTAGTTTCACAAGTGTAAAATTGTACGACTATCTTTTTTGTCAACGCAACCGTAAAACTTATGTAAAACTTTTGCTGAAATTCGAAGTGAACGTAATCCAAAATGTATATTGAAAACAGGCAATTTATAGAGTAAAACCCTGAAGTTGCGCTAAATTTTGTCCTCCAATGTAAATTGGAGATTAAAAAAATGAAGATGATTCGCATGTCAATAAAAAGATAGTTCATATTGTCATGCGTCATTTCAACCTATTACTACAATCAAACATTACAATGCTAATATGTGGATAGGCGCACAATTTGGAGTGCGTAGGTTTCTGGAATCCAGAGACAAGTCTTTAATTATGTTAAAATTTTGTCGGAACGAGCAAACAAAATGAAAGAAACCAAATAAGAATAAAAAGAGCTAACAGTTCACAAAATACACAGTCTCGTAATGAAATTAATGACTGTTTTCATTTCGTGTCTGTGCAAATCAGCCCCATACAAAACAGTCCGGAAAAGTATGAAAATGAACGAAAAAACAGTCCGAAAAACAGTCCCAAGTAAAAATTGTTTTAACAAGCCGGCAGGCCGAGAATTGCTCTTTGCTCTTTGTTCGTTGTGCAATCGTGTTGCGAGCTTGCCAACAGAGGGTAGGACTTACTACGAAATTTGGAGCCGGTTATCGCCGCGAAGCTGCGACGGGCGCGCAGCGCGCTCACCGGTGACCTTAAACTGGACTGTTTTGTGATGGACTGATTTTTTCCTTCATAATATGATTTTTCGGACTTTTATGTATTGGATTATTTTGTATGGGACTGTTTCTTATATGCACCTTTCATTTCTATTTCTAATTTCCAAATTGATTTGAAGCCCTCAAACTAGATGCTTAAAGCAAATGCTTACTTAATTTCTACGTTTTTCAAAACTTTCCAGATTTAGATAAAATTTACTCAGAAATAACAAAATTTAGTAGTAATGACTCTTTGATTATTAGATTTGGAAAATTATCTGATGACTCCCTCCGATGTTGTCTGCCTTTTCGTTGTCTGACGAGGCTTTCGATTCACCTCCGCGAGTAGAGTCGTTCGAATTGTTCGCCGAACTGACCGGGTCCGAACTCAATTGATTGGGACCCATAGGGTCGTCTTCTAACTCGTAGGGCAGGTAGGCGTTCGTTATATCGAACTTCCCGTGGAATAATTCATCTACATCTGTCACATTTCGTTTCATAGTGGAATCAAACTTGTCGATTATTCGACTGTATTGGTACCTAAAAAGCATTATTTGTAACCTTGATGTCCTTTTTTATAAGATGGAACCCTTTTACTTTCGCTACTACACCTGGATATATTTTGGTAAAACTTATGAACTCAAGTTCGGAAAAAAGAAACAGACGTAGGGAATGACTGTTAACGAATTGACATTTTGGAAGTTTAACCCCGTCACCGCTGTTATATCTTGTTACTATGTGATGACATCGCTGAAGTAATTAAAAAGATGCCTTAGGCCCCAGTGAAACAGATATCACAATGCATAGGTTTTTGATTCAAAATCAAAAACGCTTTTTTTTCGCGCGTGACTCCTATAATTGGTTCACTAAAACCTGAATTTTTGTTAATTGTAAATAACAAAGAGCAAAAAAAAACAAAAAATTCAGCAAAAAAGCTAATCACAAAATCTCCACATTTGGAAAGGTATGACTATTTTTGTGCTGAAGATACCAAAAATTTTGTAGGTGGAAGAGTTTTAAAATTTCCTTAACAAGTTTTTAATGTCTTTTTTAAGCTCTTAATCTTTAGATGACTCAAGCATTAATGGAAACTCAATTTAAAAAATTGGTTTATGAAACAATTCTAGTAAAAAAAATGCACATTAAAACTACTAATTAGAGACATTTCATTCAATTTTTGTTCCAACTTTCGTAACAAAAGAAAATAAATATTTGTGCTCGGGGTGATTTTTATTCTTCGGACAAATTTCGACTTTTTAACTAGCCATTTTTGGCAGAACTTTTTATATCATTCAAAATGTAATGTTTCGATTTTTCGCATTTTTAAATTTTGACTGAATTTCGACAAATTTCGGCTTTTTAACTAAAGTATTTTGACGGAAACTATTATATCATTCAAAAGGTATTGTTGTCCTGAGCTTAAATTTGAAAAGATATTTCAATTGTGATCGTTTTTCATAAAGTTATGGGGGTCTAAATATTGCCACTTCGGCCAATTTGCGACAATGAACACGTGATATACTTCGCGCTATTAACGCGTAAGCGGAGATTTAATCCATCTTAGAAATCGTTTCAAATTGGTTCAAGGAAGCTTATATGCCATAATTGATTTGTTAATAGAAGCAAATTCTATCACTTTGTACTTAACATGACGTGTGGGGAGATGTTTTTACAAACAATCTCAAAAACATTTTCTATTTTTTTAAATTTAGTTTTATTACATTCAAACTTTTCATGTTATTACTGCTCCGTAGCCCTTAAAATGCAGTCGGAACATTCAGGGCTTCGCCCTGATATAAGCAGTTTTGTTGAGTTTTGATTTACATTCTTCCAAAGAATTCATTAAGATAATAATAGTTAAGATCATTAGTTAAGATTAATAAGATCATAATAGTTAAGATCCTTAAGATCATAATAGTTAAGATCATAATAATTAAGATCATAAGATCAAATTAACTGATTTACGATGCTCCAATTGATCAGTAATTGATCATCAATGCTCCAGTTGATAAAACTCAAAAACAGCCGTGGATTTAAAAACAAAGACTGAAAGAACTCCACATTTTACTGATCCAGTCTCAAAAACTTCAGAACTAAAGTATCCAAACTGTAACCTGTTCGAAAGATAAGTCTACAAAATTTTTAGAAATTTTTCTCAGAGTCTATATAGTTCCCATGCTTTCAATTTGAAAAATCATCATCAGAATAAACAATTTTGGAAAAATCAATCAATTTGCTCGCAACTCGGTTCTTTCGATTCAATTTGAGCTTAAATTTTCATCAAAATCCATAATTGCGTCTTTTGTACTGCTTTTAACCAAAAATACGTTTTTTTTAATATTTGTTTTTCAAATGAGTAGTGCTACGTGATACGTTTGAGAAGGATTTTTTTCGAACATTTCAATAAAGAAGTACAAAAAAGATTGTCTATAGTTTGACGCGTCAAAAAACCAACCAGTTTTTTGAATAGGGACAAATTTTGCTATTTTGAATCAAATTGGGAAAGAAAGAACATTTTCATGCGCCAAATTTGACTTTTGGAGTTAAGTTCACACAGTAATCCTTCTACAGTTTCATTCACGTCCGTCTGTTTGTTTTTGTTCCGACCCTTGAAAATGGTGAGGAGCTTTGTATTCGTGTATGTTTTAGTTTTTTTTCCGCGCAAAATCAGGTGTACCACAAATAATCCTCGGACATGGTTGAGCGATGAGTCATATTAAAGCGCTTAAAGTCGTGATTTGAACCATGTTGAAAAATTTTTTACAAAATTTCTAGTGTCCAGAAAAACTGCATTGAAATTTTTGAATTTTTGCTTCATTTCGAGCGAATGAAGCGAGTGAGCAGTCTTATTTTAACTGCTTAAAAAATTACAATATCTTAGTTTAAAATGTAAAAACTTAATTTTACTCCCGCCTGTAACATTAGTTTACTTTGAGTATTTTAGCACCTTTTTGGAATCAAAGATATCCAAAATTCAAACAACTGCAAAACATGAAAAACAAATCATTTTTAAAGTAACTTTTCTACAATATTGTTTTTCAGTTTGCTCGTTTTACTATGAATGTCGAATATACCTAATCTCCAGTTTTTTTTTCAACTCATTTTATCTCACCACGTCGAAAAAAAACGACAATAATTTTTTAAAAAATTGTTGTATTTTCTAAGACTATGGTCGTAACATTCTGGGCTACTTGCACAGTAACCAGCTATTTTTTGTTATAATTTCCAAATGCTCTAAAAAATTATGATTAAATGGTGAATTATTACCAGCATTTTTATCAGAATCAAACCAACAAAAAACTTCTAATTACAACTATTTTTGGTTCTACTAACTCTGATGGGCTGTAAAAAGTTTTCGTGTTTTCGCCCGTACGATCAAAAGCCAAGATAATGAGCTTTAATCACTGATGTCATTGAGCAGATTAACATATAAGTCATTTCAAACCATATGTTCAGAACGATTATCAGTTTTTAACGACTCTATGAAGTTATTCAGCCTAGTTAAACACAATTGGACGATAAAAAAATTATAAATGAGATTTTTTTAAGAAGAAGAAATGTACGCATCAAAAACTATTGCCCAAAACTTTAAATTTCTTGCATTTTATATGCATCAAACAGAAACAAAACAATGAAGTCGTCAATTGCCTTGTTTTCTTATTTTAGGGAAGCTTAACCTCGGATTAAGCGTTTTTTCATATCTGACAATCAACAGATGACAATTGTAATACGTTGGACTTCTTAAAGACTCAATTTTCACTTTTAACGATGAAAAAAATGTCCTAACAAAATATGCTATTTATCCTAAAACGAGCTTTATTGACCAAGTCAAAATCGACGCTGCAATGAAATATATTCCCGCACCGGAGTACCATGGATAATAATCGAATATAATGGAAAATTGTTGTCTAAAATTTTGTCATTATTTTCCATTATTGTTGCAATTTAGACCGCAAAGTCGATTATATTGTCATTATAATAGATTATTTTCGTAAAAACAACAATCCAATAAAATCCATTATAATGGATTACAATCCATTTAAAATCTATCATAATTGAATGGAGGCGGGGGTTGAGGGTTACTCAGTATGAACAACACCTATTTACCCCCATTCTCCCTTTTAATCCCGTCACCCAAGTTTTTTGTTCCACCTTCCCCCTCCCCATTTTTACCCCACCCTCATTCAGTAAACGAGGGAAGGGAGTAAACTGAGAAGGGGTAAACGGAGTGGGGGAGGGGCGGGGGTAAACTGCGGGGGTGGGGGTAAGCTGGGGAAGGACAAAAAGTTTACGAAGTTCATAATTTTTTCTCAAAAAATACATTATAATCGATTATAATCTATTATAATGGGTTATAACAATTTAAAAAATATTATGATTTTAATCCTTTTTTAATGGATTACAAACGATTATAAAAGAATATAATCGATTATAATGGATTATATTGATATAAAAAATACTAGGATTATAATCCATTTTTGATGGATTATAATCGATTATTTTTGTAATTTTATAGATACTGACTATGTACTCCAGCGCGGTTTATAACACTTTGTGTAAAAGTATTTAAAAAAGGGATGTCTTTACGGGGTCTCTTTAACTAATTCCCCCTCCCCCCCCCCCCCTTCCCCTCTTAGGGTACCTAGTAACGAATTGCCAACCCTATAAAAAATAATTCAACGGTTAAGCATTTTGTACCAATTAACGAATCTGCTCCCTTTTTGCAAAAGGGGAGGAATAAGTTAAAGAGATTGAAAATATGAAAGACTGTACTGACTTGTCGCCGTGTTTCTCGAACACGAAGTATGAGTTGGGGGACCTCTTGATGTAGAGGGTGGGGGCGAGGGTCTCCAGGGGCACGTGTTTGTGACTCATGTGTCGCTTCATCCTCTCCTCGTGCATGCTGCGCTTTCTATCAAACGGAAAACAATAGCAGGATAAAATATTATTGCAAAGAAATTACTCAAAAAATGTTTAAAAAAGTAGGAAAAAAAAACATTTTTCACAACCTTCGATTTCGTTTTTCACAATCATCAAAAATATTAAATTTTCTCAAACATCGAGTTAGTGTCTTATGGCATAATCCACGTATAATAACCAACCAAATTTAAGTTTTTATATTTGCTTACGAACAAGAAAACGCGAATGCTGATTGTGATATCGCGATATGACCGGTGGGAGGCTTCTTACTTATGGTTACCAATTTTTCCAAAAGGTATCTCTATTTTTTTAAAATATATTACGGCATTCGTTTTCGAACGCTCAACACTGCAACGTCTACTAATTTGCTGCCCTTTTCCTTTTTCTAACAGAGAAAAATTTGGCATTTTGAAACTCGAATAAAGTTTTTGCAGTGGACTTATGGACATGATAATTTTCAGGGTATTTTCCTGATAAGAGTCACTTGATTGGTGTCATATTTTGTTCTCGAGTTTCAGGGATATCTTGACAAAATTTTGTCAAGATTTACCACTATCTTGTTAAGATTTCTAAAACGTCATTATGGATGTCATAACAAGATCTTGGATTGTCTAACGAGCAAGAATCAGCTTCCTACAGTGTTCTGACCAAGTCTGATCTTGCCAACTTTTTAACAAGTACGATGATTTTCTTTTCAAGATTTTACAAGATCTGTTGCAAGATATCTAAGATACTTGGATAATCTAAAACGGCCATTATCTAGGTAAGATTATCCAAGTCCGAAACCCTGGGTTGTCTATAGAATTAAACCAATTTATTTAGTGAAAAAAAAAACTGCCAACTACGAATGGTAATCCAAATAACTAGCAAATTGGCTATAGCATCTTTGCCGTAGACTATTTGCATTAAAAAATCATGATAAACTGTATTCAAGTGAAGTCATTACACAATTAAAATTATCACTAAGAACTTTTTTATACAAAACATCACTTGAGCGAGCGACATAAGAGTAAATTAAACCTGTTTTCAGGCGTTCTCAAAGCGAGGATCAGAAACCGCTATTTTTGGATTCCCTTGTAATAAGGAAAAAATTTGGGAAGATAGCCCAGCTTTTTCGGAAAATTAAAAAAATGGGGAAAACGCACCTCTCTTTCGAGTGTCTCGAAATGGCAGCCAGCACTGACAGAGTGGCAGAGACACAGGCAAGAGTGGAGGCGATCTCGAAGGCCAATCTGTAGCTCCCACTTAGGTCAAACACCACTCCCCCCAGAATGGGACCGAACATACCCCCCGAACCCACTGAAAGCAGAGTCCATGTGAACGCATTCATCTTCCGCCCCAACACTTCCTATGAACAACACAAAAAGTTAGTACAGTTGTGTGCCTAGCGGTTCGTGTATAGCACGGTCTCCATTTTGAATTGCGGTTTCTATTTTTTTTCTACAGAGTCGCCAACACTAAATATACAGGGATAGCGGGTTGCTGCGCAAGTATCACTTCAAATTCCTACCACTTTTACTAAAAAACTTCCCAAAAAAGCTATTTTTCTTTCTTTATCTTCAATTTGGAGTAATTATTTAGTCGCGGTGTGAAAAATAACTACGCAGAGGTTAGAAAGTTGATGAGTTACGCTTAATCAACAACAGTTGTCTCCAGAAAACGAATAGCAAATAAGAATTGAAAAAGAAAACAAATTAAAAATTATAATATATTTTTGACTTTGAACAATATAATTTAAATTCAAAAAAAAAACATTTCGAAGCGTTAAATGGAAGCTCTTAAAACCATTTTTCTGTTTAATGAAAATCACGATCGCCGCGAGGGCGTTAATATGATATATTTCTCGACCCATTCTGATGGTTATTTTTGGTACTTGATTTTGCGTGGAAAACAAAAGATTTTTAAAAAATTAAAACAAAACACACCTGAAAACAACGTTCCTCCCCATTTTCACTGATCGGAGCAAAATTATGCTCATCTTGCTTAAACAAAACTTCTCCTTTTGTTTAAAGAAGAAAAACATGAAAATTTGTGCCAAAGTTTAGAAGTTCGACATCAGTGGTCGGAACAATAATGCATTCAATACATACATGTATGCTTTACACCCTTAATTTTCAAAAAAAATCGAATCTACTCAGCAATGTCCTCCCCACTTAAAAATCTAACCATCTTAATAAAACAGTAAAAAAGCACAAGAGCTTTCTTTTGAGAAACATACCTTTGCTGGATTTCGATTGGTCAAAAATTTGACCAAGTTACTCTTCTTAACAATATCCGCCCCCTTTCTTGAAGTGGTGGGGGTTTTATGTAAATTCGTTTTTTCACTCAAAAAAACCGTACAAAGATTTTTGATCACCAACTGAGAATTTTTCTGAGCAATTTTTGCAGCCTGTTTATCTCTAAATCAACCATTAAATACATTTGAGGATATATCTCAAGTTTAGAACCAATTAATTCAAAGTATCTTGGTTTTTTATTTTTTCAGCAGAATCAGTGCTTGAACAGAAACTTGTCCATTTGAGATTGAAGTGATCAAAATTTGAGGTTGGATATAAAATAGTTGTTTCAAAATTCTGGTTTTAATTTAAAATCAAGCAAAATTGTTTGTATCTGACCGTAATTTAAAATGTTCCAATTGACAATAAATTGTATTCAAAAATTATTAAATTTTTTAGATTTCAAGCTTCTGAAAAACTTTCAACTCGAAACTTAGACTAACGAAAGTTTTCAACAATATTTTTAGTTTAAGTTTCAATTGATATGATTCAAAAAGTGAAAGCCATAAGCTAAACAGTTTCGGCAGTAGCTGATTTAGGATGGGGATGCCTTGTATTGAGTTGACCCCCTGACCACGCGCGTTACTATTTTACTACATACATTTTTGGTATGCCAATTTTATTACCTTCTAAAAAACGTATTTTCTATCAATATGATTTAATTTTGAGGGGATTATTGCACCAAAATCAAAGAGAATTTTTAATCAGACCTTAAAAAAATGTTTTTAGCCGGTTTCTTAACAAATCTGTCGCGCGCAGAATTTATTCAGAATAGGTTTGTTGAACTAACTTGGGAGAGCTCGGAAAATTATTTTACTTGACATACAAAAAACAATAAACATTTTTAAGTCAAGTTTGGGTACTGAGTCAAACATCCGAAACATCAAAAATCCTGAAAACATTCGATAGACAGCTCGGGCAAAGATACGATATCTAGCGTTTACCTAAAAGCTGTTAGTTTACGAGCTTGTCACAAATCGGTAAATATATATATATATGGAAATTAAAGTCGATTATCGAGAAAAAGTGTTGACGCGCGTGTGGCGCGTCTACGGACGACAGTAAACCCAGATTCGACTAAGTTGGAATCGGCTAATTGAACTGTTATTTTATTAAGTAATTTGTAGATTAGTTCAGATCTTTGACATAGCGGATGTCTGACATATCGGATGGTTGCCCTAGAATCTCCAAATTCACCGAAGAATCTGTTTTGATACCTGGTGTCATGGCATTGATATGTTTTCTGGCCAATTTGAGTGTGTTAGCCAATAATTTAAAGATTTCGAGCTCTGCTGAAACTCTAAAATCTTCATATTTGGCAAAATTTTCTCTATCGCGGTCGACCTATCAAAAGGAAAATATCAGTTACAACTAAAATGTTGTGATGTCTACAATACTCTTCTCCTGGGCCATTGAAACCCCCAAATATTTCTTAAATTCAGTTTTTTTTCTAAATTTTTGACGCTAAATTTTAGAGCAACTTTTTTACTGTAGTTAATTTAATCAATAACAGAATTTTAGTGGGTTTTTGTTGCGGCGATTTCCCGGAGTGTAAAGAAACTCTGGCGTGATGTGAAAAAAGCGATTTTTCCCCAATTTCAGGTAGTCGGTTAAGCATTTGCTATAAAATATAAACCCTATTAGAAGTTTATAAGAAGTTAATTATAATCCAAAAAAAAACTTTAAGCATCGATTACATTTCATTTCGCAAATTTTTTAAATTTCATTTGGTCCATTTTTACTGGAAAAAAAAACAACAAGAAACTTAAGGAAAAACTAAAAAAAAACCTAAAATATACGTTTTTTTTTGTTCTGGATTCTGCGTTTCTGTTAATTTTTTCACTTCTTTGGGTTCTTGAACTTTCTGATCAGAATGTTCAATAGTCAGAAACGAATAATTTTTTGAACAGAAAGCTGATATTATTTTCAATGGTTTAAATGTGTTATCTACAAATATATAAGGAAAACTAGAGTAACGTGGCAATAATTCAGTCCAGTTTTGCCGTTTGTAAACAATTATATTTAACGCAAGACAAAACATGACAAAACATTCATGACAAAACCCTGAAGGTTTTGTCTGACCATTAACTTAAAACATTTCTAGCAGTTAAAACATTTTTTAGAAAAGATCTTTTCCGATCCAAAAAAAAGAAACATTCTGCTTGATTTTCAAATCTTGTTTTTCAAAAAAGTAGTGAAACGTTCTTTTAACGTTTTTCCTCATTTTGTCTAAGTTCTCGTCAAGGTATAGAGGAGTTCCTTTAAAAATTGAAAATTCGATGTCCAAATTGGTCTTAAAAAATTCCCCGAGCATAGATATTTCGTTACGTTCGAGTCTCATAGATAGAAATCAGTTATACAGGATTATTGCTGTCAGTTTGTATAGTCTTCTATAAAAAAAAATATCGATTGTAGTGAACTATATAATGTAGTTATAGCAAACTAAAATTAAATGAAATCCAATAGAATCTAATTAACAGACTATAGATCATTATAAAGCATTTTCGAAGATTTTTTCTTAACTTTCAAACAAGGATAACTAAATGTGCAGAAGAGCGTGAGGAGCGGTAAATGTGTGTAAGGAGAGAGTTTGGGGACAGAAGGGGAGGGGAATAATTGTACGATGAGGGGGGGGAGGCTTTTCTGTTATACGGCGAAAAACGGATCTTTTTTTATATTGAAAGTTCTCAAATCTGATTGTTTGAAGTTATTAACAACTATGAACAGCAAAAGAAAATCAAGATTTTCATTTAAGGCAGCAACTCAAGGAACAGTTTGGCAATTTTGGGCCTTATAACAGAAAAAAAAACCGATGAGGGTTGAACGTTGAGGGATGCGGTTTCACACTGGGGGAAAGAGCCTGAACTTTAAGGAAAAAAAGCTGGTTTTCCAATAGGTTTTATCAAAAAATTAGGGCCTCAAATATTTTGGCTTCTGCAGAAACATCAAATCGCAAAACAAACAAATTCGATATCATTGTTTTTGTCTGAAAAATAGTTGAATTAAATGAGACGAAAAATGGATTATTGAGTTAGGACTGGGGTGTATAACTCATAGAGTAATTTCGGATAGGGTACACCGTCTGCTCGTCACGCTATCTTATTTTCGGCCGGATAGATTCGTGCAACTTCTTAGTCTAATACCGATCCTAATCTTACTCTTATACTATCTAGTCTCAGGTTGTTTAACTAGTCTCTGCTAGGCTCAATAGATCTAGGGTATACTGGTTTATTGCGGCTGCTGAAGTGCTCGGGAGAGTCCAACTAATTTCTAAGTTAAATTCAAATCTCTCTGGTGCTGAAATTACAAGTAACTTCAGCACTTACAAATAAGTGGGTTGTTAGTTAGATGGATCATGATTGGTTAATATTAAATACTTTACATTGGTAAAACATTTAATTTATCCAATCATAAAATATAGTTTAGATCAGGTTCCACCCATCCGGGTTTTACAGAGTTTTTTAGAACAGTTCTTCTGTAATTCAAGGGTGGATGATGGACGTTGGTATTTGGCGAACATCATAATTTTCTTTCGCTTCTTCTTGTGACGACGACTGAGTCTCTTCAACAAAGTCAATTCTGATTCCAGAATGGTTGGCTATGTCAGGTTTTTCTGTTCTGCGTGGAGAACTTCTTTTGTGTATGATCTAGTTTGGGAATGGCGTGGAGATTGTGCATGGAGGGGATGCCTGGTTACTCGGATCTGTACGTATACTTGAACATCGAGGTGGTCATTGGTCTAGTTCAATGAAGTCCTTTTCTGCGAAGTCAAGTCGTACTCTAAATCCTTTGAGTTGTGATTGTGAGCGGCATATCGATTGTAGTTGGTCATTCTCTCTCGAGTGTAGTGAGGTCGTCTTGTCTTTTGATGTTCGTCCTTGGTGTTGTATTCTGATCTATATATTGCATCATGTAATTTTACATTTTATAAATCTTTTATTAGTTTAATATATTTTTTAATAATGATTTTAGTTAGTTGTTTTCACAAAAGCTTTTTGTTTTAGTTCGGTTATTTTGAAGAGTTACTCACCCTTGAGTAGCTCTTATTAAAAATAAAGGTGTGGTCACAAAG